CAAACAAAAGATTTATCACACATTTACCCGAATCTGAAATAAAAGAATCATACTTAAACCCGCCAAAATGTCATATGACGAACACAGCTGAAGACCAAATATCCTAACAGGATCCCTAGATCTAAATACATCACAAAAAACCAGATAATCCAAATGCAAAAATCATAACACTATTATGTATAGGGTTGAGAGTAAGGTTCAAATAAACTCCGGTGATAGCTTCTCTCTTTGAAGCATTATTCTTCAGTTCATCGGTCTATACGTCTGATAACACAATCGATATGCAACCAATGTTCATCCATCGCATTTGTACACAACAATCGTCATTTTCTACTTTTTCAACGACAATCCAAACCGAACTCCGGCCGTTTTTTGTTTAGTCGATGATCCTTACTTTAGTGTCTATAAAAAAATCAGATATTCGGCACCACATTACTAGCCGATTAGTAACGATTAGGTTCATTTTATCTATTAGTTCACATGTATAACTGCATGCTGCATCATACATTACTTTTTTCTACTTGAGTATGACACCTGCTTATGTAAAAAGTACATGGATATCGTAAGGACACGAACAAAACTGTAATGTTAGCATGAGATTATGACCAAATTAACAAACGTACAAAAAATTAACATGCATTTTCGTCGTGACTGTTTGAACAATAAAGTGACATGTTCGTATGAGCGACTCAAAATACTGTGAAAACAGTAATAAGTCATTTATGACAGCTGAATAAATCGTGCAAATAAGTAAGGTAGAATATGACGAGGACTGGTTTGTGGTTACGACTGAAAATGAGAATAAAAGACCGCAAATATGAAGGTGTTCTAATAATCCGCAGTAGAGTACGTAGTGTCGATTAGCGATTAATGTATTTGAATTCACATACATTCAGTTTATGTGGGATAAAAATAATCCAGCTTTAAAATGATAACTGCATTGACGGGTGATATTCGTTACTCTATTGCAACTGATAACACGAATAAACTGAGAAGTCAGTGTACTTCGTTATTTTCATCATAAACAGATGCATCGAGTTGTCGTTGACTATGTATTAGTAGGATGACCAGAGGAGAAGAATAGTGACTGCGGGGAAGTGCTATGCGTCGTATTTCTTTTTGGTCGTGAAGCCTAGCACGGATTATGTCGTTAGAGGGATATACTCTCGAACTCGTTTGTGAACTAACGGATAAGATGAACCTAATCGTTACTAATCGGCTAGTAATGTGGTGCCGAATATCTGATTTTTTTATAGACACTAAAGTAAGGATCATCGACTAAACAAAAAACGGCCGGAGTTCGGTTTGGATTGTTGTTAAAAAAGTAGAAAATGACGATTGTTGTGTACAAATGCGATGGATGAACATTAGTTGCATATCGAGGACATCAGTTCCTACTATCTGAAGTATGACTCTAAACTTATGTCTGTAATAGAGTTGCTAAGCGTTACCAGCGATGGGCTACTTGCGACCACGCCGTTATCAGCGTGTGGGAGGTTCGCTCGACTGCTTAGACTGACGACTCGTGTACATGCGCATGTCGCTGGACCTTCAATTTACTTAGCAGGTTGTTCGGTGTACGAGCAGCTAGTAAATATGTCGGAAATATATGACATGTAATAGTCATATACCCACAAAAGTGAACGATAATAATTAGGCCATTGATGTGATAAATGATCCAGAACAACATAATTTAATAATGAGACTATGATAATTATTTGAGTCATAATGGAACGATCCGCCAGATGGATCAACAAGAAGAGGTGACACAAAGACGAATTGTCGATAAAATAATGAGATCCGAGCATGTCCATATCGCTGATGTACCGGCTCCGATTAATGCGTTGGACTAGAGATTGAGTAGCTCATCGATTATGGCAGACAATTCGTCCACGTATTGGACGCGTAGAGTTCGAGATATTCACCTTCTGCTTAGATTTGCAGGGTGCATTTAGTTCGAAGTCGGGTTTACCAGTTTAGAGGTGCCGTGATCTCTCTCTGATTTGACCACATGGTCGAAAACTGCGTTGTTTGTCGATTGAGCTAGTTCACTGAGTTTGTATGTCAAAGGAATGGAGTGCTGAATGTTCTTCATCGACATAGTTTGCTGCCTTAGGTTGTTCGTTAGTGGGCTAATCAATTTCCTTGCCCGAGATCTGACTCTAATTTGATCGTTTCTGATTGTTATTGGAATACAGATGTCGTCTATCCTCCTATATAATAATCGACTTAAATCGCGTTGGTGAATAACGGAGCTAAACAAATCAAATACAAGAATGAATTTTTGAATACGTATATTTTGTACACTCATTGATTCGGACAGACAATCAAAGGAACGAAGCGAAATGACACGCAGTGGAGAAGGCTTGTGAGCCAACTCGATTTAATCAAGCGTCAATCATTATTTATAGCCAGATGAAAATAAGCTACAGACATGTGATGAGTAAGATAGGAAATGAACACACGCTCATCCAAAACAGAATAAATAAGCCAATAAGTGGAAAGATCAAAATGTGGTTTAAGATGAATGAATAGATTGGCTTGTCCGGAAGCCAGAATAAACTATGTGGGTTTAAAATACCGCATAACGTTACACCGTTCCCCACTCAGTAAACTGGATCCGTCTGGGGGAAGGTGCACGTTAAAGGGACCATGCGCTGATTATTTTACTATAATAACTGAAGTTAGTATATATCCGTTTATAGATTCATGTTTACAAATATTGAGTGGGTAAACATTTGGTAATTTAAGATACGTCTATATGCCGCAAATATCAAAGTTTGTTGTGCGTTATATGGATAAAGTGGGCTGTTGATAGGTATATTAATTTAGGACGACACAGCCTAAGAATCATACTCACCTCCCCTCATACTTTGAAAATAAGAAGTCCACCATTAACCTTTTAGGCTCCAAAGTCAAAAATAACTCAACCAATAACAAAGTATGTCTAATTTTATACTACATTTTGTGCATATGAAATATACAGTTTTATTACTTTAATATCTACCATCATTCCATAAATGAGACCACCCACTCTCAAACCCCTGAAAGAAACCTAGACACACACCATAATAATAAAACACTAAAACCAACTGCCTCCTTATAAACATTCCCCTAAAACAAAATAAAAATTGTAAACAAACACCGAATAAACACAGTAAATAAAAAAATAAAAATAAACCATAACCCTGACACTAAAAACAACAAAACAGATATAACAAACTTAACTGCCACGAATAAAAATTCAGTGGGCTCTCAATACATCCAAGTAACCTACTGATAAAACAAGTCAACTCCACTCACCATTTCTATCAAAATCATTAATTGAGTCAATATGCCTTGCATCCTACTTAAAAACGCACTTCAAAATAGTGGTCTATACAAATCGACCCACCATAAAATGATGAAGATAGCTTCCTACTGTTGCTTTCACTGCACGTGAACAACTATACCTAAATAATACTCACAATTACCATAACCCTCTTATATTCTACCCCACACATATGAATTTCACATTCATTATATATATCCATTTCTGGCGACTAAAACAATTTTTAAGTCCAAACACCTGGATAGCCTTCCTCTACATTTTATCACTCCGCCCTATCTAGTATTTTAACCACCATATATGACTTTCTTTATTTTCAACAATTTTATAACCTAAAAATAACATCAAGTGATATGAACTATAACCGTATTTACCCTAATTGAACGCCTAATTTTAAAAAAACGCACATCAATTTCCACAATTTTGTAATGGGGGACGCTTACAACTTAACAACAGTATTCTCCATCTGCTTGAATACTGACTAACAGCTTACATAACCCTTACTGAATATGGCGTCAAAAAAAAACCTAAAATACATAAACTTTACAATAAAGGTAAACCTTTGAACAAACTAATAAAACAAGCCCATAATCTTAAACCAGTAGCTAAATGGACAGCATGATAGAGTTTGAAGCGAACGGTACTGTGTTCGGGTCCCGGAGTGAACATCAACACTGGGATGCATGTGCATCCAGCTGACGTGTCTCGAATAGGACAAAATGTGCGTCCTGGATTCCACTGCTAGACATTATCCATGTTTCACAGATTTAAATCATGAGTCAGTTGAAGCTAGAGCACCATTGAAAACCTGGAAGCACTGGACGGCCGTTTCGTCCTAGTATGGGACTCCTCAGCAGTGCGCATCCACGATCCCGCACCAGTGGAGTTCAACCAGGTCTGTTGTGAGATATCAGCTCACTGAAGACAATGGTATATGGTGGCGCAACTTCGTGGATTGGTTGAAGTTAGACATTAACACCGTTGGATGCCGGTTCAGTGGTCTAATGGTTAAGTGCTCGCGCGCGAAGCCAGTAGGTCCTGGGTTCGAGGCCCCGCGTGGTGCGGGATCGTGGGTGCGCACTGCTGGGGAGTCCCATACTAGGACGAAACGGCCGTCCAGTGCTTCCAGGTTTTCAATGGTGGTCTAGCTTCAACTGACTCATGATTTAAATCTGTGAAAATTTCTAAAATCTCCACAAACCCCTTCTGATTATCCATGTTTGCTTATAATGTTTGTAACTTAAGGCAATCCGCACCGGATGCACATATGCTAATAAGAGACTGATCAATTGCATTCTTTAACATCAATGGGATGATACAACACAAACGAATACGAAACAAATCCAACCAATTTAAGTTTTCCGTATCAATAACCGGAAAAAGTATAAATCATTAAATGTAGGTATTTCTTTTTACTGTTTGTCTAACTGATCAGATGATGTATATAACCATTATCTTTTTTTATTTATTATCTTCGAATTTTTTCTCCTATTAATTGTCGATAGTTTCATAACTAATTCGTATCTTTGTGCAATATATTTTAAATATTTCAATTAAAGCAAAGTAATTTAATGTTTTACATGTGCTACAATATTATAATTTATAATGATTCATTACATGAATATCATATATGTTTTGATCTTTATTACTTATATATGTATTTATCTGTTAGCATTTGTCAACGATGTATACGTAAAATGGATCACCATTGTCCATGGGTAAATAATTGTGTCGGTGAAGGTAATCAAAAGTACTTTGTTTTATTCGCTGTAAGTAATGGTACTGATTGTTTGTATTTCTTTAATGATTAAAAATTAATTGTTCAATTAAGTACAAGGATTATTCTATGATCTTATATTTTTATTGAGAATTAATTATAAGTTGGACAGAATGTTTCTGATTAACGTTTTTTTTTCTAACTTGGTTCTTTGCTACATAATAGGGTTATTAACCCTATTCCCGATAATCCTTATTTATTTGGGCTTGAAACAGGTAGTAACCTTAGAAGGGCTCGAGAAAGAGTTTATATAGAATATACACAATGTTTCTTCCTCAAAATTCTACTCATTATTTTTTTCTCATGAAAAAACGGACTAAAACATTCTCTCTAAGATATATTAATGTGAATTTAAAAACTCTTTTAACTAATAATTATCACTGAATTATATTATCCGATACTACTTTCCTAGTATGTCACTGAACCATTGTGTTAGATTATATTATAACTGGATAAATATTGGAAAAGTTGGACTTTTGGAATTTTCCTAAATGAAGTTATTGTTTCTTTATTTTCGTTTTTTAATTACTGAATGCTAAAATTATTTTATTATTGTATTCTCCTGCTTGTAGACTTTGTCGTGTTGTATAAATTGTTATTGTTGTATTTCGTAAAATTTTTAAAGTCACTGTTAATTTATTACCAACCTATTACTCAGTTCTCTTCCAATTATAACGTAACGATGTCTTCATTGTAATTTCTTAATCATGTTGATATGTAGTCAGATTTTTATTTTTAAATTGTTATGAGTTCGCGTCATAATTGAATTAAGCACAATAAGGAGTTGATCTGTTTCTACCTTCGTCTTCTGTTTGACCATTGAGTCAAACGTACCTCAAGGACCAATAAGTGTCAATATCGTACTTGTCGTTCATTGGTCAATATGTTGATTGGTAGATGTAAGGTCACCGGTTCTATTGGCAAGAGAGATGTTATACACCTGCCTTCCTGTCATTACGAGCCGACTACGTAAGACCCAAGTAAACAACCTGCTGTTTTACTTCCGATATAACTAATTCATTAAATGAAAATCTCTAAAAATTGTGCGTGAAACTTCAAGAATCAGAATGACAAATATAATCACTAATTATAGTACTGTAGTGGATATCGGGTTATATTTTTCCTGACTGATATTGTTCGACGTAAAATCAATTTTAATATATATATATATAATGTATAACTTCTCAATGATATCCCAAAGTTGTTAAGTGATCCAATGTATCTAACATTTTGAACATTTCCACAGTTGGATTCACGAGTCAATGTAAGCTAGATCACCATTGAGAACCTGGAAGCACTGGACGGCCGTTTTTTCTACTACTGGATTCCTCAGAGTGCACGTCCACGATCTCTCATGTAGGACTCGAACCTAGGACCTTCAGTCTCGCGTGTGAATGCTTAGCGTTTAGACCACTGAACCGGCATCTAACGGTGTTAATGTGTAACTTCAATCAATCCATGATCTTTCGTAACCCTTTAAATTGACTCGTGGATTTAACTGTGAAAATATAACAATCTCTGCATGTCCCCATACTTCAAATATTGTTGAAGAATTTTATCTATTTGTTACGATAAAATATAAAAGTAATTAAATTCTCAATTCTCCTTTTTGTTTCCTGAATGACCTCATATCTGGTTTAATTAAGTGATAATAACAAAATAAGACCGTCATTAATTAATTAATTATCAGTTGTCATTTAGTTCTTTTCTGTTTTCTTACTTTTCAGTTTTATATTTGTCTAATGTCATTTACTGCTATTGGAATGTGTATTTATTTTCTTTTGCAATGTTTGGGTTCCGATTGGGAGGGTAAGTTGTAGTAGTAGCAGCAGTAGTGGTAATATTAACAACTTCACATATCAGTTTACTTTACCTTATAATATTTTCATTTCTGTATTTTTGATTTTTTGGTGAGACTATAATTTATGGACGACCTTTGAGCGACGCTAAAAAAACTTTAACAGTGTCCACATACATACTACAGTTGAATGAGATTTATAAACCAGTGTGAAGAATTAAGATTATTATTATTATTATTATTATTATTATTATTATTATTATTATTATTATTATTATTATTAGCTTTATTCAATATTATATTTTTGGTACAATATAGAATTCTCAGCGTAAAGTATTTCAACAAGTTCCCATTTCTTTCTTCTTGGTCGGTCCTGGAGATAAATATTGAGTGACTGCCAGTGAGATGTTAGCAGTTCAGTAAATGAACATCTGAATAATGTGCATTCTTTTCGTTGTATATTGCCAGCAACCACATTGTCTCTTATTGAGTTTTCTGTAACTTTGACAACGAAAGGTTGTACACTTTTCAGAAACGCAGCAGAATAGGTTATGCGATTAATAAACATAATGATATATGAAAACAAAAACAGATAACTTATTGAAATATCTAGATGGCAGGAACAGGTAGTCCAGATGCTCAAGCAGGCCGCTCTTTATGATGGTTAGGTTTAGGAATTAGATTTAGGGTTTTCGTCACTAACTGACATAAGCTAAAACGCCATTTAGCCAAACAGATGATTGAATTTCACACCAAAATCCAAGACCTGTCATTGTAAATCTGATTGGTTTGTTCATAAATTAAAATGTCAAAAAGAGAACTATTGAAGAATAATTCATTGACAATTATTATTACTAGTTAATTTTATATGTGAATTATTGAAAGGGATTTGTTATGCAGCCAGATACTAAGTGAACTACTCACTCAAAGTCCCCCATTTGCAATTATATTTACCAGATGACTTACAAAATTAATAGAACATGTCCTTGGTAATTCCTTTATAATGGCTGAAAAGTGCTAAATCAGCTCCCAATGAAAATCTCCTAAGAACATCTGAAGAAATGAAGAATCATGTGTCATACTTGTACTGAAAAATTATCTATTTTGTTTGATATATTCTCAGGACTTTCTGTAAAGTCAGAGTCATCCAAAAATTTTCCGTATAGAAAGTACCCTTGAAAATGAAGTTTCTGTTATTATTGCGTACTTTTTGAGGAACTAGTAAACAATTAAAAAATCATTATCGAAAATTCGAGCACCAAGTGGATCGAATTTAACTCAATCAGAACTGAACTAATAACAATAATCAATATGGGGATTTGTGAAGATTGTAAAATTTTCTCAGTTGAATTCACGAATCAATCTAATGTAGAGCACCATTGAAAACCTGGAAGCACTGGACGGCCGTTCTGTCATAATGCGGAACTCATCACCAATGTCGGTTAAGTGGTCTAGAACTTAAGCGTTCGCGCACGAGACCGAAGGTCTTTAGTTTAAGTCCCACATGAGGAATCATAGATGCACATACTAAAACAAAAAGGACTGTTAAGTGCTTCGAGGTTTTCACTGATGGTCTAGCTTAGATTGACTTGTGAATTCAACTGTGAAAATAACTAAGTGATAATAGTAAAATTTACGATAAAATAAACTTCACCTATCAAAACAGTATATTTAAACATTCACGTTCAAAAGCAAAATCATTTATTGTTATTTCTGCAGTAAATATGACTACAGAACACAAGAGAATATTTACTTTATAACATTTTACAAAACAATCAATTTTACAGACTATACATATATATGTAAATAACAGTTTAATTTTCATAATTACTGACTGAGGTAATTTAATTTTGACATTTAGAAGATACATTTACAGATTAATGAATTGTTTTTCCCGTTTATCGTTTATTCATTGTCCAAACTATGAACTATTAAAACAATGAGTGAAATTTTCTATCGATCTCATTAAACCTTTTGATAAACTAGTTTAAAAATTGTATAGAAAAATACCAATGAAACAATTAATGAAGTGATAAATTGTTGATTTAAACCCTGTTGATAATTACAGATAATATTGTCCGAGTACGTGAGATAATCGTCAGTCGGTCAGCTACAACGTAGGACAAGGCATATATATGCATCAGTCCAAGTCGCCACACATCATTAACACAACAAGATGAACACCAAATTCATAGAAGTAGTTACTTCACTGGTAGCAATGTATAAAAGAGAGATTATGTATAAAGATATAGTACAGGAAGAAAGAATTAGTTGGTAGACAGAAAGGTATAAAGTAATTTTAACCTCACGGTTTAAGTGAAGACAAAAAGTGCATACACCTACGCGATTGTGATCGATTCTGAACCATGTCAGCCAGAGTCTCCAACGATTGGTTAAGATAGTTACGTGGTCTGCATTTACCAACATGTCTCACACTAGGGGTTAGTGATTTCAATGACTGATGCCACGTTTTGGTCTGGCCACCCCTAACTTTCTTCCAACCGTCTCCGACATCGTCAGCATTGCGCGTCGTGGTAATCGGTGTTCGGGCATACGCAACACGTGGCCCAACCATCTCAGTCGATGAAGATTCATAACTTTATCGACTGATTTACCATCATTCCGTAATACCCTGCGTCTAACTTCACTATTACTTACCTGGTGGTCGCATCAGATGCGAGCAATATTTCTAAGGCATCTGTGGTCGAATGTTGGCAGCTTACGAGTATCTTCTACTCTTAATGGCCACGTTTCGCAGCCGTAGATTAAAACAGAAAGCTAAACGTTCAAACATAATCTTTAGTGACATGGTTCAAAATCGGTTGCAGATACATTTATTCTCCATTTCTTTTCTATGTCATTAATATCAGTATTATTTCAGACATGTTACTCTCTTGTTCTATTTTTTTCTCGAGAAAATATTTTTTACATGAATCAGCTGAATAATAGCTAACAAGGGAATCTAGAACGTGTGTTTCGTCGTACTCGGGGTTCGTCAATTGAACATACTTGCTACCTACATCAAACAGCTCTTACAAATGAATTAAAATCCTCCGATTGCACAGAGCAGTAGCTATCGGGACTCAATATCATTGAATAATGAGTTTGGGGTCCGAATTCTGATGTGAATATAAGCAGTTTGGTGCAGGTAGAACCAGCCGACGAGTCCTGTATGCGACGAAACGCGCCTCCTAGGTCCCACTATTAGTCATTATCCAACTATGCTTCAAATGCTTGTAACTTCTAAATAGTATTGAGACAATCCGTACAGTATGGACATATGCCAAAAAAATATTGATCAAGTGTACCCCCTGACGTCAACTGGAGGATTCAAATGAGTTAAGGTGCATATTTTCTGTGCTTGATATTTTTTACAATCGTTGGTTTATTAACTTCTTTCTTATTTATTTTCGTAAGTTTATCTTGATGCGCTGATATTTTATGAAAATTGCTTGGCGATTTATGACATGAAAGTATCTACCATAGTCCCCAATTTTTCAGTGATGGCTGATATGTTGTTTATCATATGTTGACAATGTTTTCATCTAATAATCATTGTTACTGGTAAATCGATTGATGTGAACATTTGTTTTTATTATTTTTCAATTGTCTTTCAGTTTGTCAATCAAATCAGAATGTTAATATACTAGGCAATTTTAGTTCATTAGCGTGCAGTGCATTTGCCCTAGGATTGATATGTGAATCCTTGATGTTCGGTATTTTTACTTTAGTTATGTGCATCAGTCAATTGTGCGCTATTTCAAATGATGAAACAGTAAGTTATATGCACCTGCTCTCTTATATTAATAATCATAGTTATAATGAAACTCCCTATTCAATTTAATGTTTTTATCTCTTTGCAAATTTATACTGATAATGTTATGTAGATAAACAATGTTAGCTTCATATCTAAACTGTTCAACTCAGAGAATGCGAATCTACCTTAAGAAGTTCATTTAATAATTAGATGTTTAAGTCACACTTATTATATAAAGTTGCTTAGAGATACTGACCAACTGTTGTTTGTAATGCCTATCACCCACTACATCCAACATATCGCTTTATAAATATTATGCATATCTTTCAACATCATATATGAAGTATAGCTAATCTGCTACTTCTCGTATCAATTAAAGTTAGAAGAGCTTAAATTAACGAAAATTTATACACCTTTACCCCTTAACATTATATAATATGTTATTTCAAATCACATCATTCGTGTAACTTTGCTACTTTCAAACAATAATTCTGGACGTTAATTAAGTGTAGTCTCTTTATATTGACTATTATTTGAATATTCTAGGTTAATTTTCGACTTACAATACATCTACTCGTATCCTAGTAACAATCTTTTAACCTTCTGTTCGTTATGTATATCGAACAATCTCTTACTCCAAATAGGTGGAATATCCGATTTGTAAAGAGGTCTACACCAGGTTAACTTTCCGATAAAGATTCTGCATTTATATGTAAAAAGAATAACATTAGGTCATGTGTCTTGTGGTGCTTTATTATTCTCACTTTCTTTCGATTCTCTCCTTTTTTATGTAGGTCGACATAAAGTGTTCATAGTGTATGCAATATTTTGAAGGGAATTGCAGAAGCTTAGCACTAAAATACCGTCTAAGTACTCTATCCAACATTCCAACTGTATTCACTGTTTATAAAAATGCCATTTAATCCAATGTTATTATTTGCTTGAGTAAAAATGAACAGTTGCTAGCGATTTGTAGACGCATCAATCTCGCTTTCACGATATTTATGTGAATATTACACAAAAATCCCTACTACGGAACTTAAGCTTATTGTTGTACTCATAATCTTTCAAACTGCATTGATATCTATCAATTAGTTTTAAGTGATCCCTTGAAACCCGGCACTTATATAATACTTCAATCAATGTTTTCATTATATCTTGTAAGTACATACAATCTTCATCTACACTTTTAGTGAAGTGACAACTAACCTTTAGTCTAGATTCATCTGTTATTTAGTTTGTAATTGTCGGTACAAACTATTCACTTTGATTAGTTTTAATCAAGAAAAATTTGTTTGACAAATAAAATTCAGAAACGTATTGGCAGAAAAAGATGTCAATTATAAACATATTTGATCAGTTAATGAAAACTAACCATAAACTGAGTAATACTTAGTTACTTTCGCCTGTTACTCCTAATGGAGCATAGGCCGCCGACCAGCATTCACCAACCCACTCTGTCCTGGGCCTTCTTTTCTAGTTCCATCCAATTCTTGATCATTTCTCTCATGTCTATTTGCATTTCCCGGCGTATGTGTTCTTTGGTCTTCCTCTTCTCCTTTGGCCTTCAGGATTCCATGTGAGGGCTTAAACTGCGTAATAATTCACTTGTTATTAGATACAATTTACTAGTACAGATTATAAATGCTATGCCCTATAGCCCATCAATTACCACGTAATAAGATCGCCAATCAGAACACCGACTTTGGTTCTGTACCAAATGAATGACGCGTTAACTAGTACGAGCAGCCTAGAGTCAATTATGAGTCCTTATCGCTTCTTCGTGCCTTACCATGCTCATTTGAGTCCAGAACGCAATCCCAGCCTCTACTGTACGGATCATGTATTTCAAACATCATAAAATAGAAAATAACAATTTATTTATTTATTTCGACACATGAATATTGGTACAAGAGAGCGCAAACATATATGCGCCACACAAAACAATGAAAATTCGAGAGGAATACAAAGAAAGAAAAAAAAGCTAAGGAGCGCAACAAAAAAAAGAGAGAACAATAACGGAGAGATTGGTGTAAGGTAATGTGTTAGTAATCAGGGAACGCAAAGGTACAATCGGAAGAAATATTTCAGGTAAGGGAGACACAATCACTTTTATGAAGAAAGTAAAAGAAGATTACAGCAGGATCGCCACTGGCTTCTATTCTGAGCCATATCTGATAACGTCTCTAGCCACTGTGTAGCACCATCTCTCAGACCCCAACCAGGGAGTCGTGGAGGACCGATAGAAGCCAGTCCTTTGCAGCTTTCTTTCATACCACGACACCATGTCATGCACTAACCACCTCTCCGCTTCTTCCAACCAGTCCCAAAGTCGGCAAATAATGCACGACGTGGAATTCTCTGGGACGACATTCGTAGAACATGTCCAAGCCACCGAAGTCGGCGTTTCAAGATGGTAACACCAATTGCATTATCATCTCTGTGCCCGAACACATGAAGCCGAACCTCTGTATTACTAACATGGTGTTGCCACTAGATGTCAGCGATCCTTAAGAGACAACGATGATCAAACACAGAGAGTCGTCTAACGTCCTCAACTCGGACAGGCCAGGTTTCACAAGTATAGGGCAGAACTGCTCTCACCGACGCGTTGTAGATCTGAAACTTTCACAGCCAGACTGACATCACGAAGGCGCCAAAGATGGCCCAGATTGGCATAAGCCGCTCTGGCTTTCATTATGCGTGCATTGATCTCATCACTCAACCCCCCACCAGCACTTATGCAGCTACCCAGATACACGAACTTCTCAACTACGTCTATCTGCTCACCGTCCAAGGTGAGTACAGGATTAGAATCCTGCCAGTCTTGTAGAAGTACTTTGCACTTCGAAGGTGCAAAGCACATACCATACCTACGGACACTGATTGCGAACTGATTACGTGCGGATTGCATGCCTTGGGCATTATCGCACAGTAAGACAATATCGTCCGCATACTCAAGGTCGAGAAGTCTTTCTCCAGGCAACAGATCCACACCGCCATTACTTACATTCATCAGAGCTGTTTCCAGCATATCATCGATGGCAAAGTTGAAGAGGAATGGTGAGATTGGGCAACCCTGTCTAACCCCACTGCTCGAATGGAACAATGGAGAGAGGTGGTTGTATGCCCTCACTCTGCCTGATGTGTTTTTATATAGGGCTTTTAGGATGTTAATAAACTTCTCAGGCACACCCTTCTTCAATAGACAATCCCAGAGAACAGCCCTGTCCAACAAATCGAAGGCAGCCCTGATGTCAAGAAACACTACGATTGTTGGCCTTTGATAAGTATGGCGGTGTTCTAACATTTGGCGGAGGGTGAAGATATGATCAATGCATCCTCGACCAGAACGAAGCCCAGCCTGCTCCTCGCAAGTCAATCTTTCTCGGGTTTTGAACAACCTACGAAGTATGACGGAAGCCAATAGCTTGGACGCAATCGGAAGTAGACTTATCACCCAATAGTTGTTACAGAGACGACGTGAACCCTTTTTAAAGATAGGGACAACTATCGACTCATTCCATGACGTTGGCACACTCCCTAGTTCCCAGGCCTTTGGAAAAAATAACGCGGTCAGCCTCTTAATCAGAAGGTCGCCACCATCTTTATAAGTAGCCGGAGGTAAATCATCTGGGCCAGGTGATTTGTAGCGCTTCAAAAGTTGGAGTTCCTTGCGGACTTCCTCCTCGTTTGGTGGTTCAGTCGTCACCGGCCATGGAGGGCAGGACAGTCTGATCGATGTTGACGGAGCAACAGGCCAGTTGAACTGCCCTTCGAAAAATTCTGCCCATCGTCCAAGACGTCGATGGATGTTAGTGATTGGCATCCCATCATCCTCGCAGATTATTTCACTCACACCAGACTTCTTGCTGCCAGTGGCTCGGATGAGTTGGAAGAGCTTCCGTTAGTTACCAGATGCAGCTGCTGCTTCCAACTCATTAGCACGCTTCGACCACCATGTTTCTCGGTCTTTACGCAAGCTTTGCCCAATTTCCTTACGTAACATCCTTCGTTTATGGTCAAACTCACAGTCACCCGGAGTAGACCGACGGGCTTCAATGAGTTGTAAGGAACCAGAAGAAACCCAGTGCTTAAAAGCGGGACGTTTCGCAAACCCACAACTGACTGTTCCCGCCATTTTCATGGCGTCACGCAATTGCAACCAATGCTCATCTATACTTTTCGGTGGAGTGGTAGCTAGCCTAGAGGCTAGCTCGATTCGATACTTACTTGCAACAGAAGTTGCAACCAGCTTGCTGACATTAATCCTTTGGTAACGGTCACTTCGTTGTCCACTGAAAAGTAAGGTAAGATTGGCGCAGACCAGGGCGTGATCAGAGTCCAGATAGGTACTCCAAAAGGAGCGGCAGTCTTTTACACAACCACGCCAGCGGTAGTTGATCACGATGTGATCAATCTGAGTCCAGGCTTGAGATGCAGAGGGAGGACGCCAGGTGGCACATCGGCGATGACTGTGCCGAAAGTTAGTGCCAGCCAGAAACAGGTTGTGGTCTGTACACAGTTGCAGGAGACGGTCCACGTTATTTGTCCTGCAACCAACGAGTCCCCATCGGCCACCTAAACGACTCTCTTCTGTGCCTAAATGCCCGACCTGAGCATTAAAGTCTCCGGCTAGTACTACAATATCTGTCGAACGCACTTTCTGGAGAAGAACTGATAACTGGTGGTAAAACTCATCCTTGATTGCATCCGGGCTGCAATCTGTCGGGGCATAGGCGGAGATGACGAAAAGACATCGTTTCTCACGCCGATTTCTTCTCACTTTGATGGAACTTTCTAATCTAACAGCATACAACCGATTGTTAATGGGGATCCAATGGGTTAGTGTTGCCTCAGCTCTAGCGCTTAGTGCGACACTAACGCCAGCAAGACCAGATGAAGATGCCACAGGGTCCCCGGATAAGCGCACGTAAAACAAGCTTTTTGAAGTGACAGATGTAGAGCGAATTTGTAGTACATCACCAGAGTCTTGAATACGGGTCTCGGATAGACAGCAGACATCGATATGAAGACTTTCCAAAGACATAGCCAGCCCTATCTGTCGACCAACCTGCATAAGTGTGCGGAAGTTGAAGGCAGCCAGTTTGAATGGCGCACGTGGTTTCAGAAAAACTGCTTCAGTTCTTGTATTCAGTGGTAACATACAATTTTCAACCGGACAGTGACTCGAGAACGTTTAGATACAGTCGGATTTCCACCAAAGATGAGCTGCTGTATAAGTATAAAAGAGGGTGAATAATGTGGAAAATAATAATAATAATAATAATAATAATAATAATAATAATAATAATAATAATAATAATAATAATGACAATAATAGTAATAATAATAGTATTAATAATGACAATAATAGTAATGATAATTATTTGAATCGATTGATTGTTTTTCGGAGCGAGAAAAGTAGTTGCCATAGACATAGAGTTCATCGTTTGTGTGTGGGCTGTGATACTGCCCGGGTGCCCAAACCGAAGCAGGTGGTTATCTTAGGGGGCCACTCCCCGAGCCTTTGACCTAAAGGTCTAACCCACAAGGCAGTGGAGCATCGTATGGAGATGCAATCCCATGGTAGCCGGTGACCAAAGATTGGTTCATACGCCATTTGTTCCCGCAGGATATTGGAGCCCATGTGCACCATTGGTTTGTGATCCGGTTAAAGCGCCGCCCCCGAATGCCCTGGTGTGGCCGAGAGTGGGGTGAGTCCGCTCTCCCTCTCGAAATACTCTCACACGGCCGCGCGTATACAGCCTCTGCCAGGGAAGTCCTACTCATTGCCTTCTTGTGGCAGGGGTGTTGTTTACGAAAATGAGAGGACGAAAAGCGAATGTCCGGCGAAAGAAAATAACAATAATACAAGATCAAGCCAAAAGTGGCTGTGATTGTGAGAGCCTGTAACTAATAGATCGGGAATAAGTTACGAATGGTAAATCGCATTACAATAGCCAATAGGTCAAACGAAGTATATATATTAATAACCCTTTTTTTTACCCTGGTTGTTGTCTCAAGATCTCTCGAATATCGTCCATAAATTATAGTTTCACCTGTATTTTGCTTATAACTTGCATTAATATTCCATTCTATGTTTAATGCACCTTTCTAATTATTCCTCTTTTCTTCACTTTTTTTTAAAAAAAAAGGGGATTGAAAATATTAAAAAAGAACAGTCATCATGGGAGAAACAATCAACCAGGAAAAATTTTATCAAAGCGTTTGGTGCACCATTTTCATGGCGATGGTTTAGTCCATTCTCATCACCTTCATTTGTTCCGACAATATTACCAGGACTTCCAGATGATGTCAATTTAACCAATATGTTATATTTAGCTGAACAAAATGCAACTCGACAAAATACAAGTGAATTTCAGTCAGATTTTAATCAAATTGGATATATTGTTTGAAAGATAATTACTTCTTTTTTTTCTGTTTTCTATAATCTTATCACAGTTCATTGTGAGAGAAAAAAAAACCGATGAGTTCAGTTTTAATCTTTGTATAATGTAATACTCGCAGAATTACCTCTATGCTAGATTCATATAATGGTAATGTCTACCTTGGGTATATATCCTAAAATTATTGACATCGTAGTGTTACTTGTTTGTTGATAGGGTTATGTAAATACAACTATTGATCTTCATTGAATGATATCATCAAGGTCTATATCATGATTTAGACAAAATATACTGTAGGTGATCACAAGAATACAGATTTTTTCAGATCATATTTTTAAAATTTATAGCATAACAAAACGAATAAGATTAATTAATAAGCAATACTGACGTAGACAGATATAAAAATTATAAGAATAGTTACCTACCTAAAGAATGTAAAATAGATACATCTGTACTTGTGACTAAAGCACATTGTTTACACGCGACTTCAAGTCTCCATCTAAATTAAATCCACACAGTTGATTTGACGGGTTTGTGAAGTACTCTTATATATCCACTGTTAATTAATACTAATATAACTTCAGTTAATACCATTTAGTGAATCATTACGAATATTAGGACTTGTCAAGATTGTGTATCGGTTCCATTTCCTATATATCATATCAGTAAAGCAATAGAAGATCGATTCTGAACCATGTCAGCCAGAGTCTCCAACGATTGGTTAATATAGTCACGTGGTCTGCATTTACCAACATGTCTCACACTAGGGGTTAGTGATTTCAATGACTGATGCCACGTTTTGGTCTGGCCACCCCTAACTTTCTTCCAACCGTCTCCGACATCGTCAGCATTGCGCGTCGTGGTAATCGGTGTTCGGGCATACGCAACACGTGGCCCAACCATCTCAGTCGATGAAGATTCATAACTTTATCGACTGATTTACCATCATTCCCTAATACCCTGCGTCTAACCTCACTATTACTTACCCGGTGATCCCAGCAGATGCTAGCAATATTTCTAAGGCATCTGTGGTCAAATACTAATAGCTTACGGGTGTCTTCTACTCTTAATGGCCATGTTCCGCTGTCGTAAATTAAAACAGAACGAACTGTCGCGCAGTATACTCGTCCTTTAATTGATAGACGGATACCTCGCCTTCGCCATAGGTGACGTAAGTTGGCAAAAGTCAAACGAGCTTTTCGAATCCGTGCTGAGATTTCGTCAGACACCAAGCCATTAGGGCTGATCAGACTTCCAAGATAAGTGAAGTTGTCAACGCGTTCGACTACTTTACTCCCTATCCTTAGTTCAGGTGTTGACGCAGGTCAGTCCTGAAACAACAGTTTGTATTCAGAGGGAGAGAAGCGCATTCCAAACATCCTGCAATTGTTGCTCTGTGCTGCCAAAAGATTGCATTTTGTCAGCGTCTTCACCAAACAAAATTATGTCACTGCGTATTCTAATTCCATAAGTGAACCTCCTGGTAGACCAATGGTGTTCCGATTTTGGGAATTGTCGAATGAAGTAGTGTCCAAGAATACAAACAATAGCTGGGTCGTAATAAGAGAAATTATAACATACGTCTATGATGAAATTGAACAGAAACGGAGATAGTGAACAAGTTGCAAAATCAGATGACAGTTTGCCATAAATTCTGACTCGACGTCTAGTGTTCAAGTAAAGAGTCTTCACAAAGTTTATGTACTTCTGACGTACACCTTTCAATGACAGAAACTATCTCGGTCAAATGATACTTTTACGTTAAGAAAAACTATCATTGTCGGACGCCGATAAGCATGCCTGTGTTGTAAAACCTGACAAATGGTGAATATGTGGTCGATGCAGCCATGACCAGGTCTAAAGCTAGTCTGATTTTCTCGTGTTTGCAGTTCATAAGTCTTTGTTACGCGTCCGATAACTATTGATAATAATAACCGACTGATGGGAATATAAGAGTATGAAATATTATTTTGTTTAGAAACACAATAACCGGATGTAAGTAAACCGTTGTATCCAAGTTCGTTTAAGGTCTTTAGCCAATCCCAATTAAAAATTCTACACAGATTAATCAACAATCTAAAATTTGATGCAGTCTACAGATCGTTAGCCAGCAATGAACAATGATATAGATCGTAGCTGAGCATAGTTCTCACTCAATTAGTTAAAGTTCACAACATCAACTGATTCCATTCATTTAGACCACACACTCAATGTTGTTTGCTTCTTAGTTGGGCTAATATAACTAATAAATATTTCGAAGGCACCTATTAATCGAACATTTGACAACCTTTCTGTATTCGCTTTGAGACATTATTAATTACTGAAGGAGAGTGGTCAGAGTTCAGGTTAGACTCCGGTATACAACAGTAACAAGGTCATTCTCTATTTGTGTAGAGAGTAAATATAAAATCACAAACATTCGTAAATCATGTTTGGAAAACTACATTTTGCTACAGTCAATATCAAACAAGGATTACGCCACCTTGATGACCAAAAAATCTAGATGATGAACGTACCATTAAAGCACATTCATATTTAAGTCGAACAAAAAGTAGCATTTTCAGACCAGTCATGATGAAGGCTAGCTAGAAGAAAAAATCATTGTAACCTCTGACAGAGTTACTGGTCTTCGACTAAAGAGCGGTTAGCTTAGTAGTGTATTTATTTGGTACATGTTTGTTAAAAAAACTGTAGATCAGTGTGATACAATTTCAAGAACTATCGTTACATTCGAACTTCAGTAAGTCCATCTATGTGTGAGAATATGAAGGATGAATTTCAGTTTCAACAACCTTGATTAGATTGAATGCATAAAAGATTATAGATGACAGTAGGCAGCTAATAGTCACAATTGCACTACTCATTATGATTTACTCCTTATTTCAGTATTTGATTTCATATTAATATATGCTCATCTTAAGTTTTCTACATTTTGTAGTGCTATAAATAATCATCTCAAATATACTGATTTTCAGAGAATGAAATAAAAGTGCCCCCGACAGATGAAACAATATTCCTTCTATTGTTATCTTAAAGAATAAATGCTACCAAGCAAGAATGAATATATATATATATGTATATGTATAAAGGGAAATCAAATTAAATAAAAATTACATCGTATGTCTGTAAGAGATGAGGGGGATGGAGATAAGGTCAAGACTTTCCTGGCAGGAAGTAATGCTAATCGGTAATTAAATCAGGAGTTGAAATAAAAAGGAACGATAAATACTACAAATAGGAATTTTTAGAGCTAATCACTGTATACAGTGGTGATAGTAGTAGTAGTATTTACCGTCCTTGTGTACAGTGATTAATTTTTGAATCTTGCGGAATCCGCGCTTAAACACTACTATAGTAAATCATCGAGCCAATGTAGTAATAAGTTCAGTACACATTTCAAAAAATTCCATTGTTTGGTGTCGTTTAGTTCTTCGGTTAATCGGTACTTCTTGACAATTAGCTGAAAACGATCGGGAAAATTCAGTTGGACCATCGTAGCAATTGGTTGGACTAGCAGATCCAGTGCTACCGGAAAAACTACCATCTCTACTACATGTTGAAGTACCCATAGCAGCTGGAGGAGCTAAAAACAAAAGTAGGTACAGAAATTATGTGACTGTCAATCTGACTAAAATGTTTCTAAAAAATACGACATAAGTAGAATATACTGCCTATATATATATATATATATATATATAGTTCTAAAGTTTCCCGCCTATAATCCGGCTGTGAACAACTCATTACTTTATTTATTTTGTTTGTATCAACTAATCGCACTATTTTCTTATCTTCTCGATGTGTTGATGCAAAGCACAGCGACTTGTGCGAACTAACATTCGTCTTAGAATCTACATGTTGTATATTTTTTAATCCGTAATAACATTACAATGTCTTTAGTATTATTGTGACTATTATTATTTAATACCACCGATAAATAAAAACATTAAAAATAAATATGGTCGAAACCTACTTCCACTGCAAGCATCAAGGCATACTGACATATTGTTTGAACGTAGTCTACCCATCGCTGTTTCAGATTCTAATTGACTTTCATCGATACACTTAAAATCGAGGAGATATGATCTTGCATCGACCTGTGAACGTAAAATGTCACCATTAAAACTTATTAGAGTAAATAATTTGAAATAAAAAACAAGTATGGATACTAGTAAATTTATTTGTACTAGAATCTTTCATTTCAAATACGATGTGTGACGTTTAGTACATGGAGTTGAACTTCCATCTCTAGAATCGAGACGTATATTGGATTTAATTATCTACATTCTAAAAGATTGTTATATTCCTATGTCCAATAAGCCAAACCATATGGTATGTTTAATAAAAAGTTACCTATTTATATCAGTAGAAATCACCACTTCTACACCAAACTACAGTACTGTTCGTCATAAAAAGTAGGGTGGAAGAAAGCCAAATGTAGTATTAGATTAAGGAAGCGATTAATATCGGTATGTAAGTTTGGCCTTATTTATTAGATCTAACGATGAAATCATAATTTATAGTTGTAAGTCATATACGAGATAGTTTGAAATCAATGGTAGAGGTTTAGTAACATTCATTTTTTAATCTTTTGAGTGATGATAATCCAAAATCTTCAAATATCAACTTCAGTAGCCTGGGTATGTTTTCATATTGTGCATTACTTCCTGATTCTATGACTAAGTGGATGAAGTTGAGACGTGATCAGCTTGTAACACGGTCCCGTGGTATGAAAGATAGTTGTATAGGACTGGTATTTGTGGATTCCATGATTCCCTTTATTGAAGTACTAGAGATCATGAAGCTCAGTAGCTTGAGGAATTGTCAGAATAGAAGTCAGTAGCAGTCATGACTTAGTTTTCTATTAAATTCTTTGTAAAAGTGAGATCCACATCCTTGACTGAATGAAAAGCACACTTTTGATGTTCTGTTACACTAAGTGTTTTGTAAGATAAAAGAGGAACCGACTTTATTTAAACCCTGAGCATACATCCGTTAATTTAGGTTCCTTGAACCACTTCAAGCCTTTTTTAGAAGCAATAAGCATTTTTTTCTTGATATTACATAGAAAATACAGGCTATATTTTCGTACATGGTTTTTAGCGTGGCAGTAAGCCCGAATAAACAAGCACTTGGCATCACTGTTGACAAAGTGCCTGGTTGGTTCAGATTACCTTGTCAGTATCCATGAGATAATTGTGACTAATACTCGGAGAACATTGGTAATATGATTCGAAATCAGTTGCAATGAAGCAAATACATTTATTCATCACCCTCACCTAGACCATGAATTTCAATATTAGGATATTTTACTCCCATATATTCTCTATACCTGATATATATTTTAAACTATTATTAATATTATCAAAATGCGGATTTGTGGAGATTGTGGTATTTTTAACTGCTGAATTCATGAGTCCAATCCGTATCGGGTAGAGACAGGTATCTATCTCAGACAATCGATGAAGAGTTGGGCAATATCATGGATCGATTGAAGTTAGACATTAACACCGTTGGATGCCGGCTCAATGGTCTAGAGGTTAAGAGTTCGTGCACGAGACCAAAGGTCCTGAATTCGAGTCCTGCATGCGGGATCATAAATGCGCACCGCTAAGAAGTCCCATACTAGGACGGGTTTTCACTGGTAGTCTAGCTTAAAATTTACTCATGAATTCAACTATTAATATTATTGATACTACGAATTTTTTTGCTTATTTATCTTATAGTGCTAATATCCTGTGGTCAACTTGAGCCAATGTTGCACATTTGTGCCGAGTTCGTGATGAACTATTTATGTAATTTTTTTAAAAAAAGATTATAAACATTAATTATCATTTTGAATAAACAAATCATAACCAACAATAAATAAAAAGACTTTTAAAGACAACTATTTTTTGAACAACAAGAATTATATACCATATGTATTGATAAGCATTAAAGAACTATACATATTCATATAACAGTGTTAAGAAACCATAATAACCAACTAACCTGATAAAGTTGTAATACAAGTCGAGAATAATGCTGTAGTATTGGATTCCATTTTCTTACACGTACATTAAATGGATTAACAACTTTCCATTCATAACCAAGTGAATTCATTGCTTTAAATACTTCATGCATAATATCCCATGGTCTTGATTGAGAACGTATACCTAAATGCCATTTAAAACGTTTCATTCCACTGGCCGCTGCAGCTCCCGATGTAATAGCTGACTGTGCTTGAGAAGAAATTTGACTTGGACAATTCAAATCACCTGTAACAATTGATCCAGGTGTCTATAATTAAACAAAATAGAAATTAAAATAATAAATTATTGTACATTAAAAATTGATTCGGAAGCCAGAAATCTGAACAATGTTTAATTTCAAATGAAACAAACAAGTTACAATTTGTAAACAACCGAAATAAAGAATATTTAAAATTTTAGAAACGATAGGCAGAAATATATGGCGTACCTAACAACGATAGTGAAGAAAGTTACAAAAGAAGGAAGTATGAGGCAACTATATGACAGAACGAAGAGGCAAGCAGAAAAATAAAGTAAACCAGAACTACCAGTCAAGAATAAAGAAGGCAAACTAATCACTGATATTCAAGAACACTGGGACAAGTGGGAAGACAACTTGGAAGAGCTTTTGAATAAACCAACCTCAACACAGGACACCGAAACAGCACCTACGAACCTTCCTATAGCTGTTACCTACCAACATTCGAGGAAATAAACAAGGCCATCAAGCAAATCAAGAGTGCGAAAGCAGTAGGACTAGACAATATACCAGGTGAAGCACTAAAGCCAGACACAGAAGTAACTCCAAACACGCTCCACATTCTATGCACAAGGATGTGGAAGTAAGAACAAGTGTCGACAGACTGGAAAGAAGGAATGTATCTCACTGCTATCGGTACCAGGAAAAGTTTTTAAGTGTTGTTGAGTCGGATGACAGATTTAATAGACGCACAACGCCGAAGATCGGTCGTGTACAGACTAAATAGCAAAAAAAACAATAATCGTTGAACAATCAGTTGAATAGAACTCGTCACGATACATCAATTTCCCTGACTATAAAAAAGCGTTTAAGAGCGTGGATAGAAAAGCCTTATGAAAGCTTCTTCGACACTGGTGCACTTGAGATCGTCAGCATCATACGGAATGCACTAACCAAATCACATTAGATGGGGAGGCTCTGGAAGAGGTGGAAACTTTCGCATACCTTGGCAATATCGTTGATTAACAAAGGGGACTTGATGCGACCGTTGAGATATGGATTGGCGAACGGTCGCATTCCACAAATGAAAAACATCTTAAACTCAAAACAACTGCCAACCAATACCAAAGTCAGAATCTTCAATACGAACGTCAATATAGTTCTGTTGTATGGAACTGAAACTTGGAGAACAACCACAACCATCATCAAAAAAGCATTGGACAGCTATCCCGTTTTAGTCAGCTGAATGAAATTGGACCTAGAATCTTCAAATTTCGGGGCAAAAGATATTCTATTTAACCACCGAGTTAAGCACTGTTACAGATTGGTCATTTCATAAGACTTGAAGTTCTCTGTTTAACTTTAACAACTATCAATTAACATACTACGGGAGAAAAACTAAGATAAGGATGACTTTGAGTAATAGGACTTGGTATATTGAAGTCAGTTATTTGCTAAAAAAAGTCGAAGACATTTTCATTTTTGATACCTGATTCCTTCACACATATATTTTCATTCTATTTTTGAACTGTATTCGTAATGTTCAGTCACTCGCACTGTTATTGCTACTACAATTGTTCTGACACTTTTGGTATTCATCCTGTTATGTTGATATGGTACAGCGGCTTGGATTAATGCATATTTGCGCCGAGCTGTACGTTGATTATGACTGACTAAATATAAATGCTAAATTTCGAACGACACAATATGTAAATGAGTGCGGAACATAACTTCAGATAATAGTAAGCTAACGATAGAGATATCATCAACGCAAAGTAAATTGAAACGATCTACTAAACATACTGCTCTATTGCTTATTCCTTCGATAAGGAAACAGGCATTAAAAAATCCAGCTGGTAGTTAGATTATATCAGAAAAATGGGGGGTGGACTATTTACTTTCAGTTTTAGAGACTGAATTGATGGTCATTTCAAATAGCCTTCAGTCACATTTAGATCGCCCACCATCTCCAATTAGCCTGAATGGTAAGTTGAAATACGTCCTTCAACTCTTAGTGAGGTTGAAAATGCGATTTAAGAGCAAAGAAGAGTAGCAGGTTCAGATGGATCAAATACGATAGTCTTTAAGGAGTAGTCTATTTAAGCTTTTATATTGACCGAAATCTTGACTATAATCTGGGAATCGGACATAATACCATCTGACTGGTCTTAATCGTGAAAAAAAACAAGTTTATACGAAAGGAAAAAAATTCTATTGTGACATTCACAGAGGAATTAGTTTGACAAATATAATATTTAAACTACTAGCATCAATAATACTCCGACGCTTGAATACGGCTCGTGAGGAGCAAACTAGGGAAAACCAGGATGGTTTTAGACTTAGACATGGATGCTGTTTGGCAGGTTCTAAATCACACGCATGCTGTCCGACGTCCAATTATGGTTGCATTCATTGACCTTAAAGTATCATTAAATCTGTTGATCATGAGGTTCTGCGACAAAGTCTGTCATTTAAAGACGTACCAAAAAGTGTATTAACCTTGTACAGGCTCTCGACCTCAACACTACTGATCGAATCAATGATGAACTGTCATAGGAATCGATAAGTTGTGTATGTCAGGTTTGTCATATACGATCTGACTTTATTGAGTAACAAACCACTGCTCACTGAACTTACACATCATTGAAAAAAAAGTATGCGTAATCTTGCTTTACGATAAATGCACTAGATACAACTTCTAAAAATGCATTACATATAAGGAATGAGTAACGCTTGTATAACTAAAAGCAAACATCTTAAGTAAATATTCAAATTGGCTAATAAAAGTTATTTAGTTGCAAAAATAACGTCAACCTCAAAACTATCAGTAAAACTATAATTTGTGGATGACCTTTAAGCGATAAAGTGGGGTGGAGAAATTTACATGGATCAAAATACGGTTGTAAATTAATATTAGAAGATAGAGTTAGAGGTTGGAGTTAATAAGGCAGAATTAATGTATTCATCACACTAACATCAGCTCTAATCCTGAAATGCTAACTAGCTATATGAATGATTGGGCTTCGTACAAAAAACAACTGCTATCTTAAATCTGATTGGTTCATCCACAAGTTATAGTCCTACTTTATTGAACATTCAGTCTGATAAATAATGTAGAAAAAACACACTGAATAAGAATTTATTACCAACGAATCCCCCATTGGATCTAATGTTCTCGATAAAGGTGGTCCATCAGGCATTCTTTCTGGATGAGGTCGTGTTGGAGAAATACCTCTACCTTTTAATCCAATCATGCCAGTATTGTTACCATAATTTGGACTTAATGATTGACTTCGACCACCACCAGGCTGAGAATGAGTCAATGTACCACCACTGGGTGGACTATTCGATGTATTTGTTGTTGTTGCTGCTACTGATGAGGTTGATGAATCAATCCCAGTGGCAACATAAAAATTATTCACTTCTTCTGGATTTAAAACTGATCCGAAACGTCTTTGAAATTATAAAAAAGTAGATGAAAAGATTAGCATGGAAATATGGAACAAAATATATTTTGCTATTGGTTTCATATTCATTTTGTCTACTAAACTTAATAGACTAGTTACGGCAATATATGTATAGAAAGATCCAGTTCGCCGGCTATATTTGTGAACTTATTTAATCAGGTAATAAATTGTGTACTTACATTTGAGTCACAGTTGTGAGGGTTGTTTATCATATCTACTTGCCCAAACCCAAATAGAGCGGGATCGGAACATGTGACTTAGTGGCTGACAATTGAGAGCAATAACCAATGGGCTACCGCTTCACTGGGATAGGAACAATGAGAATAGTTCAATTTGTGCTATACCTACTGCAGTAAATGATTCACCTAACTAATGCGCTGAAAAGTACATCTTCAAGATCCTGTCAAGTGTTTCTATAGATCTGTAAGTGAATACCACAAAGTATACAGTTGACTAGTCAGAAGTAAATAATTTAAAAAACAAAGCTTCTTCAATGTATTGAATCACAAAAAGAAGTTAAGAACGATCAAACTGTGACCTTTCTTAATTTCCGAATACAACCCATATCATTGTGCGTATATTGTGGTGTTTGTGATATTAAAATTCTGATTTTTTTAAAGTCATAACTGGACATGTTAATATCCAGCTGTTTATAAACAATAGCAAGATACATTAATTATTTTGCGGTAAAGATATCATTTGATTGACTGGTGCTAACTTATGACTATAAATCCATGAAATCCTTCATTCAAACTACGAACATCAGTTTCATACAAGCTAAATTTACACATTAACTAAGCTTTGATTATGTATGTGTGTAATATCCTAACTAAATAGAGTATTTACTGCTATATAACAATATACTTCTCTCTAGTTGAAAACTTAAACTTAACCTCAACATTATCCGATTGCTGATTTCAGCATTAATAGGAGTTATTCTGAGAGAAACGGTAGTCAGATATCACTTAACTGAGGCATTACTCGACTAGATGACTCACTATACAGGTCGTATTTCAGTTCACAACAAGCGAGACGCTTAGACCTGTGAACACAGGACAAATATGTTAGCCACTGCTACTGACAATAATTACGTTCAAAATCCTCAAGCTTTATGAGGTGTAGTTCACACAATGTGACTAAAAGTGCAATTTAATTAGGGTGAATTCAAGTGTCCGCAAACATGCTTCAAAATATTTTTTAGTGGTAACGCAAGGTCATTTCAGTAGTTTAGGTTTTCCAGAAGTAAACACTATGTTAACAAGCTTTCATATGTTTTCTGCGTTCAGTGGTGTCAAGAAAGAGTACTTGGTATATATACTCGTTTATCTGATCGGCAGAAAAATTTTCCGAAGTCGAATAATTCACTAAAACCACAATATGATATTTAAAAACCCCCAAATTGCATCTACAACTGGAAAGTAATAACAAGTGGAACTTACTTATTGTCTATGATAAGATGATAAGCAACTGACAATTGATCACTAGGATCATTGTTTAGTAAGGCAGCGAAAACTTCACGTTCTGTTGCATTGCACGCTTGACAAACTTCATAAACTGCTTCCTAAGTGAATCAACGAAAATTATGAAAACATTGATTTTAATAATTCCTGATGAAAAGTATATAAATGATTAAAGCGACCATTGATCACAGAATAAAGCTTCGGAATCATTTAATAGTTGGATCCAACGTACTAAAAATAAGTCATATAAAGTTTACTGCCGTTCTTCGGTTTGAAAAACTAGTTTGATAAACTAATGTACTGATTGGTCATGTGGTTAGTCGAATCCTACATATTGAGTTTGTAATATGATCAGAAAGCTAAGTGTCTTTTAGTACTAATGTATTTCATTTGATGCTTCGAAAGCTGTGACGAAGTTTCCGAGTATAGGATAGGACTACACCATCTCAAACCCTTGAGAGGAGATTTATTCCCTCAATCTTTCAGGAATATCCCGCTGAGTCCCAGGCATAACGACTGTCTTCAAACACTTAACTATGATAGTCAACCGGTTAAATAGAGCTTCTGACTCTTTCTACCCATGTCACTAAATTTTTCCTTGTCGCTGACGTGGTTTAGCAACATCATTAGAACAGTGATAAACTTGTGTTTCTAAAGCGAAATGTTAACTGACAGCAATACGGTTAATAGTAACAAGTTGTCAGGTACTTGAGTATGAGCCACAGTTTAAGTGTGGGGTTTAGTAATACAAGCCGGTTGTCCGAACTGAAGTGGCTAGGTAGGGGTTTAAAGTAGTCTTAGTAGACGAAATTGTACACCTTAAACATTAACCCTCCGCTCCCAGATGAATTCGAACCCACGTCATCATCTTCACAACCTGACATGTTATCGCAGAGCTATTCAGATCGCGGCTGGCCTTCTGTACGTCTGGTATGCATTTAAATTTGATCACTGAATAGTAGACAATTTCAATTTTATCTAAATCCCTTATAATGTTGGTCGGACATTATCCGTCAATTAGCAGTGTGACCACTAGTTCAAGCGACTTGACATTCTTTCATTGTCCTCCTATAGAAACTGAACACAAACGAGTGGAAAGACAGCACTTTAAATATGAAGTCATATCCCGTATATTATTTAACTAATAAGTCGGTCACATGATGTCTATCACAGCACTTTAGCAGTCGTATGTTTACAGCCTTTCTAGGTAGGCTCTGCGTAACGATGACTTCAGAAGAAACGGTTGCTAGAACTTAATAACGAATGTCACGAAACTAATACGATGTTTACAGTTGAGAGGGACAAGACCATAAAACATAGAGTAAACCTCAAGTCTTGGTTTCAGGCAAGAAACATTAAAATATTTCAATGAGAAATAATTATAAACACTCAAACAAAACAGTAACCATAACTATTAATAAATTGATTCATATTAATCTTAAAAATTACAATATAAAACAAAGTAACTAACTCTGATATGCTTTCGGTTCAATACATAATACAAAAAATTGCAGAAGACATGATTTATAAAAGCATTACCTTGTCAATTATTGACGCATCTTCATCGCGTTCTTGAGGGAAAAGATGACTAGGAAGATCAACTGAGAACCACGGATGTCGTCTGATTTCTTCTATGGTTGCACGCTTGATCGGGTCCACAGTTATCATTCTTCGAAGAAGATCCCTGACCTAAACAAAAAAGTGATTATATATATATACTATTAGTTCACTATGAAATGCAGACTTTGGATAATCAATAGTTGATCTAAACTACAAGAGTTGTGCTTGTGGTGTACAACCTACGGCTAAAATATTTGTTAGCAAAAACTAAGACGAAATGAACTAGTGTGGATGAATTCTGTCAAACTATTCTAAATAACCAAGCTCTTTTATCACTATCACATGAATATTTTTAAGAAATCACCTATGATGCTTTAATTCCTGTTGCTTTATTCATATTCATAAAGGACACCCCCCAAATGCCTTGTTACGACCGAGGGTGGGGAGAGTTAGCTCTCCTTCACAAAATCCTCTCAACATGGCCACGCATATACAGCCACTCTGTCAGAGAAATCCTACTCACTGCCTTCTCGTGGTAGGGGTGCCGTTTACAAAATTGAGAGGACGAAAACTTAACTGGGTTGGTGGATATGGACGGTCCACCTAGGAGAGTTAGAAAGCCCTGATTCCAAATCAATGGTGCACATATGCTCCAGGATACTGAGGGAGCAAATGGGGTATGATTCAATTGCTGGTCATCGGCTACCATGAGACTGCATCTCCTGACGTTGCTCCACTGCATTGTGGGTCAGATTTTTAGGTCGAAGGCTCCAGGTGTGGCCCCCAAAGAAAGCCAGCCGGTCAGTATCACAGCCCACACACAAATCAAGTGACTTGTGTAGTGCATATGTATTCGGTGCCCCTTTGTAGCAATATTTGTATTCAAATAAATAAATAAAAAGGGGAGGTGATTATATGAGGTATCTTGCTAACGCTAAGAAAGATACCATAATTTGTCAGGTGGCAGGTGGCTGGAAGTGGTAGCAATAGAGTTAAAACAGTGCGTGCAACTTCTAGTCACTGACAAATCCCTTCACCACAGCTTCAACCAACAGAATTTGATCGGCATCAAGGACCAGATAAACATAACATTAGTTAATACACAGTGAGCAATTAGAGTAGATGACGTCAGGTTAGTCTAGTAAGCCTGATACCACTTATAGAACGAGTACTATGGTTAATACTAGTTTGACAGGGGAGCAATCAGGAATACGATTTTCCTAACGTTCCTTTCGACGACACGGGACGCAATAGATCTCAGATAAAGTTAACATGATCCAAACCTACCAGGCAAGACAGAAAGCAAAAGAATCTTTAAGTGAAGAATAAGGATGATAGTTTCCCAATAGAAAAAAAACATACACTTACACCTGAACTCAAAGTTTCTGGCAAATGGAAATAGCCTGCTTTGATTTTTTTAAAAAGTGTAGGTATATGTTCATCATCAAAAGGAAGTGTGCCACATAGCAATGCATACAAAATTACTCCACAGGACCATACATCTACTTCCGGACCAGCATATAACTTCCCAGATATTACTTCAGGGGCAGCATAGTTTGGGGATCCACAAGAAGTACGTAGAAACTCACCATCTTGCATTATATTAGACAATCCTGGAAAAAGGCGAATTTTTTATACATTATTCTGTTAGAACAATACTGAACTTTGAAATTACTGAAGTTCTCTATACAGCCAAAACAAATTTTTAAAATACGGACAATTGCTATATGACATTACTGTACAAACCTTAGTGAAATAGTATGTCAACCAACAGCATTAAAACATTATTCCAGCTTCTTAAAAAAGTATTTCTTAAACACATAGGTGTTGTTGCGAATGGAAACCAAAGCAAACATGTACCATACAACCAGGTCCTATAATACAGCAATATATACCATAAAAATAATCATCCACAAGCTATATATAACCTGAAAGTACTAAGACATTTGACCTAAACCGTCGAGCCACGATTTCGTTTGAGGGACTGTATTCTATTTAGGCAGCGTTTTTTTTGCTATCAAATCAATTCCTTACAATCACGTTGGATTAATGAACTAAACTGATTACCCTAAAACGTTACTGTAAACATACATGCAAATTTTAAAAAACCTGTTTTGGTGTACACGACTAAAAATAACCAGGGTTCAGTCCACATACCAGATTTAAGATGGAGAGAAACGCAAACGAAGAACATAACTGTTGGTAACGAATACACCAGACTTGATGGCAATATCAGGTAACACCACAATAAGCGACGTTCATAAGACAATTAGCTTAAAAAGGAAAGACAAACACCACTACATTCTACGCTAAAAAAACCCACTGAACTAGTAAATATCACAATACAGAACTATGACTGCAGCATTACAGGTAGAGTTAATCACAATCAAGCAAGAAAACGACGTTTAAAAGGTAGGTTTTTGAGCACCGTTCATTAACGCAAACCTGAGAGATTACCAGAATAAAAACTCTAAGATCGATAACTGAAAGCATGACGCTCAAATCACCAAATCAGGAATTAAAAAGTATAACTGTCCCAATATCATCATGGTACAAACAAATTCCCGGTATACAACCAGTAGAATGTTAATGTCACCAAGTAGCCTGACTTGTTCGGCACAAGGTATTTCACTACCGGCAAGCAAGCCCAGCGAAAAAACAATGGCACTCGTCGGGTTATTAACATTACTTATGCTGTACGGAAAATAAAATTACAGTCCACTAACCGAAGTCAGCAATCTTTACGTTCTGGTTTGAGTCCAGCAACAAATTTTCTGGCTTTAAATCTCTATGTACAACCTTATGACGATGACAATAGGCGACTCCGGAAATTATTTGCTGAAAAAACTTTCTAGCGTCTTTCTCAGAGAGTCTTCCAGACTTCACTATGTAATCGAATAATTCCCCTCCACTGACATACTCCATTATCATAAATATGTCAGTTGGAGTACTAATGACTTGATACAACTTGATGATGTGGGGATGTCGGAAAAGCCAAAGATTGAGGATTTCGCGACGTAGTTTGCCGGCGACATCGAGAGCTTTGATTTTATCCCTGTTCACTATCTTTACAGCAACTTGCACACCGGTAGATTTATGAATTCCAACTTTGACTTTTCCGAAAGTTCCGACACCAAGTGTTTCTCCGATTATGTAGTTCCCAATACGAACCTCTGGGCTACATTTTGGGGTACCGCGTCTTCCATCCGCCATAGTTTGAAAATTGTTCCAACTATTAAACTTTCTAGTTTCAATGTCTAACACGCGATGAATAAACGAAAACTGATTTACTTCATTGTTCACACAACGCTCAGCATTCAAGTGGCGTTGCACTAATAAAGTCTTATCAAACTTCAGTGTGTTACGAGCGATGTTGGATATCTTGCCTAATAAATGACAGTATTTAACCTGAAAAAAACCTAACTTGCTAAAATAAACTAGGTCTTCTAATACATAGACAGTCATCAAAAAGTTTTTAAAAAGTTTCCTCTTACAGATATCTAAATCGTTGAGATTGTAACTGATGCTGATATTCGTTGTACCAGCGAATTAATTTGCATTAGTGCTTGAACAAACGTATGTGCGTGTCATCGTTCATTTATTAATACTGGTTTCGTGGCTAAGCATAGTTAATTATAGCGTATCTCATTCTCAATTTGGAAGGCAGATGCTCCAGTCACGGTAGATATATGTTTCCAATTTTAAAGAGCTTTTCACCGGGTTAGTGTCTTTAGAAGTCATGTCATGTCGGCCTAATGATTCATACACCACACGATCTTATCTCAGAGAGCCGAGAAGCTAATTATTCATGCCGCCAGAGAAAACCATAATTATATACTACATTACATTCGAACGGGACATTTGATGCTCATATACTGAAAATATTTAACACTTATTGTTTTAGTGTATCTTTTTCACTTTGGCAGTAATCTGGATGACTCTCCTGGTCTAGCACATTGTGCGAGCATTCCATATACCCTAATTAGTGTTTGCTCTAGTTGCAAAAAGAAGCATCAGCCTCCGGACTTCTGAAGAAACTCTGCTTTAACCATGAGGCGTCATAACTCTTCTAAATGAAGAACTGTAGTGGCATTGGACCATAACCACACAATCCTCAGAGCTGAACACGAGACAACTCGGAAAATAGATATTCAATATTTAACGCAGAGAAATACCTAACGATGGAGTGGGCGGGAAGAATGTGTTGAATGAATTGGATTTGATATCTTCAGTTCATATTAATATCATAGTAGACCATAATTCTACAGAACTTCTAACTCTCGGGGCAGGGTCTAAATGGTTTGAATTAAGTTATAATGTATGGAACAAAAGGTTTTTCTTTTCTCAGTGTGCTAGGATGGCGCGGTAATAAAACCGAACGGGATGAACGGGCTTATAATACCTCTGTATTGAACAATCGGACGATCCGCTTTGTACTGACTAAATCACGTTACATCAAAAACCCGAATCACAAGCAGCATTACATTGATGGTGACACAGGTATTCAGTGTTTGACAACGCTTCTACCAGTAACACCCAATATATTTCGTTCCCACCCAGAGAAATCAAAAGACAGAGTCGAGGAGATCGGAAGAGTATATTTGGCGATGTCCAATATATCGGAATTCCCTGATCTTATCTGGCTAGCGATTGCGGTTGATGTTGAGCACGGCGTTACCACACGTGATCTGGTGCGGATGCATGACCGAGCGCCTTCAGCTAGGTGAGTCCACTAAAACATATGGTCAGCATCCAATGTCGAAAACTTAGAGCTATTTATTTTGGGGATTTATTTACCGCTACAGATCACTCCCCCCCCCTAGTGGGGCAGTGAAGACCCTAAGACTTGACCAGCCAGAAGTTTAAACCCAGCGAGTTTGTCATTGGTAAACATTCTTCTGATAGCTTACTAAGTGTAGCAGCGTCTGGTCGTCTTTCCTTACTATATGGGACCGAGGTACAACATAGTTACGACGAAAATTTCGACTCCTCGTAAACTGCATCGTTCTTTTCCAGCCGTTCTGGAAAAGAAAAGGAAAGTGTAAGGGCATGTCGAAATACACTCGTATGTGCGTAAAAACACAATGTCGGCGAAAAAAAGGAAAATATACTCAAGCACACGTGCTAGTGCTGAAAAAATGTTTTCTTATGTTGTTTTTTAAAAAATTAAAAATAAAATATATAGGCATATTAAAATTTTTTTTAATAATATATATCGTAAAAAGAAAAATCGAGATAATATAAAATGTCGAGTAGTGCCTGACGTGCAGTAGTCGTTTAAATGTTCTGGAAATCTTACTCTTCTTCCAGAACGCGTCGTTTAGGTTTATTTTCAGATACATTCGGAGTACCATCGCTAGTGTTGGTTGTCGGTTGAGGAATTATGAATGTAGGGGTCGTGTTGTGCGATTGTACTGAAGGAAGGTCGACGTGAATAGGATTTCCCTCTAAATACGCTGCTTTTAAGCGATCGATGCTGATGCTATCGTTTGTTCCGTTCTTGTCGACTATATAGTACTTAGATTCATGTTGAAGAACTTTGAAGGGTCCTTCGTATGCTGATTCGAATGGTCGTCGATGCGAGTCTCGGCGAACGAAAACGTGTGTACTATATCGTAAAACAGGTTGAACGAAAACATCAGTTGATTGAGGTCGAGTGGAAGCAGGTTTAACTGAACGCATTGCGTTTGTAAGCCTGTTCGTGTAGGAGGTTAGATCCTTGTTCATTGGAAAGGATGAAGGATCCACGAATTCTCCTGGAATTCGAAGTGTCGTTCCATAAACGAGTTGAGCCTCAGATTTCACTGCATTGCGAATACCTAGTAAGACGAGTGGAAGAGCATCAGTCCACTGTGAAACGTTTGCAGCTGATAGAGAAGCTTTTAGTTGTCGGTGAAAGCTTTCTACCAACCCGTTTGCTTGTGGGTGGTAGGTGGTCGTTCGGAAGCGAGTGGTTCTTAAAAGTGTAGTCAGACGACGGAAGAGATCGGATTCAAACTGACGTCTGTGGTGATGGTTGAAGGGCAACCGAAGTTTGCCACCCATCGTTCGACGAAGGTGCGGGCCACTGTTTCAGCAGTGATGTCCTTGATAGGTACTGCTTCTGGCCATCGAGTGAAACGGTCTACGCAGGTTAAGAGATAAGCGTATCCATTTGAATCTGGTAAAGGTCCTACCAAATCCAGATGAACATGGTCGAAACGAGCATCGGGAGTTTTAAATGAGCCTAAGGGAGATTTATTGTGTCTGATAACCTTAGATTTTTGGCAGCTTACACAGGAGCGTTCCCACTCCCTCACGTCTTTATTCATGCCAGGCCAGCAAAACCGTTCTGCTATAAGCTTGATGGTTGCACGAACACCTGGATGCGAAAGTTTGTGCAATGTGTTGAAGACATTGCGTCGATAATGTTTCGGCACGATTGGGCGATCCCTACCTGTAGATGTGTCACAAAGTAAGGTTTCCTTACCTGTTCCCATCTGTTTGATGCGTAGTTTAAGTGTTGTGGACGATAACTCGTGCTGAAGATCACTGTCTTCTTTTTGAAGCTCGGCGAGTTTAAGAAGGTCGATTCCTTGGAAACTGTTCAAGGAAGTTATACGAGATAAAGCGTCTGCAACTACATTGTTTGCTCCAGAGATGTGTTGAATATCTGAAGTAAACTGCGAAATGTAGTCTAGTTGTCGAGACTCACGAGGAGAGTACTTGTCTGAAGGAGAGCTTAACGAGAAAGTGAGCGGTTTATGGTCCGTGAAAAGAGTGAACTCACGGCCTTCGATATAGTGTTGGAAATGCCGTACAGCACAATACATAGCTAGGAGTTCCCTACCGAATGTGCTGTACCTCGATTCGGTGTCTAGCAACCTTCTAGAGAAAAATGCTAAGGGTTGCCAGGAGTTGTTGTAAGACTCCTACGATTGCTGAGTCGGATGCGTCTACTGCGATGCTAATGGGTGCTCGGGTGTCCTGATGTGCGAGCATTGTCGCTTTAGCGATCAGTTCCTTAACTGTGGAAATGCTTTTCGTGCGGTGTCGTCCAAATTAAGGGATTTCGCATTTCCACGAAGTTGGTCGGTCAGAGGTTTCATAAGTAATGCGCATTTCGGTATGAAACGTCTATAGAAACTTACGAGGCCGTTAAACGTGCGTAATTGCTTGACGGTGGTCGGTTCTGAAGAATCCAGAATGGCCGCCACTTTGGTTCTATGGGGTCGGATACCTTGAGCATCGATAGTGTGTCCCAGAAAGTCTAATGAGTCGGTTCGGAATTGGCATTTCTGAACGTTTACAGTAATGCCATAATTTGTAGTCGTTCGAAAACGAGATCCAGATGCTTGAGATGTGTTTCTCTGTCCGGACTTGCGATTAGGCAGTCATCAGCATACGCATGTACGAAGTTGAGACCTCGAAAAACGTCGTCTATGAATCTTTGGAATGTTTGAGCAGCGTTTCTTAGACCGAAAGGCATTCGCAAAAATTCATAGAGTCCGAAGGGAGTTATGATAGCTGTTTTCTGTATGTCGTCAGTAGCCATAGATATTTGGTTATACGCTTTAACCAAGTCGATTTTCGAAAAGTCCAACAAGGTAGGCTTCGCTAGCTTCTTGAAGAGCAGAAACTGCAGAGCTTTGGAAACGAAGGTCGGTCTTGAAGTCTTGGGCAATCTCGCGCACCAATCGCTGGAAGAGCAGTTTGTCTAGTTTACCGCTACAACATAACCAGAATAAATATACAATACTTTATTCCACACATTTACAAGCGTTCATTCTCAGTGAGTCTGATCTAGAATACAATCAGTCATCAGTTGAAAGTTGAGTGCCTGCTTGTCCACACTTAGTGACTAGTCACACTTTCACTAACAAACATTGCTTATGCGGAAGCATAGTAATTCAAAAAGCTCAGACAAATTGCCAGTGTAACTATCTCAGTAATGAATTATATGCCGATGTTCAGATTCAATTTAATGTTGATGTAAACCTCCGAAAACCCGTTGTTATACTTTTTTCTCATTATCAGCTTTCGATAGGATAAAAATAGTAGTCCTAAATTCTCTTTGTTCTTGGTTTGACTCTAAATGATTTATTCATACTAGTCGGTATTGACATCAAGTAAGCTTTGTGTTGATGATCGTTGTAGGCTTCGTGAATGTGATAAAAATAAAGATCGCACTTTCACAACCAGTCTCTCGTTATGTCTACATAAAGCATGTTTATATATTCTTTCCATGGTAGTAGATTCAGTGTTCTTTCGATTTGCGGCCTACTGATCGATAAATGTGTTGTAGGATGAATGAAATGTCGCTGAGCCCTAGCCAATTCATCCGACAGTTGGGTCACTGAATATCGGATAGATTATCGATCCCTGTCAAAGACAACCAAAGAGCATCAATTAATCGCATGTCATGGACTGGCCAGTGTGGTGGTGATCTCACTAACTCGAGTAGGTCAACAATCATTCAACATAGATCATCAACGTTGATGATCTACAGTAGAACCAGAAAGAAAACACTTATCGGTAGTATAATCCACTATTCCATAAAATATACCTACTTGATCTACTTTCAAGTCACCTTCATTAAAACATCTTAATTAAAGATAGTCAGTCATACATCTTTTTATTACACAGATAGTTATGGACCGAATAGCAAGCCAAAATCTCCAACTTCCTTTTATTTGTGTAGTATTCGGGTAACTGGTTTTCATCATATAGGCCTTTTTCTGTGCAAACAAACACAAACTACTCTTTCAATCTCTGCCTAGTATCTTTTAGCTTACCTTGCATTCAAAGGAGCAAGTAAAAACAACTCATTTACAACGTACGTCTGGCGTTTCTGTGCTCGACATTGACTCACACAGTGTAAGAGTTAACTATAAACATTAGAAAATAACAAAGAAGCTACATGCTTCCTCCAATCCACGATACTATGGCGAATCTCAATTTTTCAGGATACATTCGACTACAACTTCACTGCTAGCAGATTTGGATGCCGATCAACGTAATAGATTTGCAAATACAAAACCTTGAGCTGTTGAACAACAGATACGATTGATGTATGTATTCTCTATATTATTAATTCGTGGTACTACAGCCAATTAAAAGGACTTTTAGCAGTACTAACGTTCGGCTCATCAGAAAGATCGCGAAGTGTGGTTAGGCCTTCTGTATTTGAGATAAAGTTTAATTCCATATCAGTAGTCCCCAGTGTGTGACTGATAACCCTTCGTTGAAAGCAGAGAATAAGATTATCTCCTAACAGTTCGCTTATGTAACGTTTATTATACGTGATAACATGCTGTACGATTCGCAACGACCTCGCATGCATAGAATACGATTTTGAAAGCCTTCATTGAGATCATCCTATATTTGAACTTGCGTTGTCAACAGACCTAATGGTTCACCTTAACATGTCAAGATACTCGGTGACATTAATTAAATGGAGTACCTAGTTCATGAAGAGGGCCTCGTAGTTTCAATGGGCAAAGACATCTTAATAGTGATAAAAGTATTCATAAAACTTTCATCAATATAGAAAACAAAACTATTACAGTCCTATCATGGGTAATAAACAAAATGAATAAGACCCCCATACACTTCGAGGTTCTAGGTCTTACTCACCAGAACCCTAGCCACGGTCATTGAGACTTGGTTTAAGTACCAACTAATAATAAAACCTTGAACTATGAGGGCCCCGACTGCGGACCGCGGGGTGGCTACTCTAATTTCTACCGACTGACCAACTCCAGATATTTCAGTACGACCCCAATACTGATCCCCAATCTCCAATATATCAGAACACGAACCGTAGATGAAATTGTTTATGGGGTCAGGAGAAGAATAGGAATAGAACTAATACTTTATGGACAAATGCATATTTATACAGTTAGGACTACCATAAATACTGACCAATAGGAAAATGACACCTTTTCACGTTCAAGGATAGCATTAGAGTTAACAGGATAATTTTTGAGATATTTTACTGAATATCTCAACAGCACCTCGATCAAGCTGTTAAGCACACCACGACAGCTGCAGACGATCCACAAGCAGTCCATCTGAAGAAACTCCAAAAGTGATAAATCTCAAAAATGAAAAAAAGCCTATACCTATCACCATCACTGCATTGCTGGAATACAAGTAATCCAAAAGAACATTTGTTACCAGTTTAACTATACAGGAAGTAGTATAAAAAGGTTTGTCGACCCGACTGAATACTAAACACCTACATAGAAAGCATTATAGTTCATCAGTGCTTTTACTGACGTGTTAGATTTGGTAACGCTGCGTTTCCTGTGAACAAATGTTAATTCAAGCCCAAAACCGAGACTGAACTAGTAGTATAATTGCCATTTGTTCAGTGAGCTACAAATAGCAAGTGAACCTTTAAATGTTCATATAATAAGTATGTGGATCACCTGGATTATAGGGAGTGAAAATCAATGACGGCACCTTAATCTGAAGTTCTCATATGATTATCAAATTGGTAGAAACATAATAGTTTTCATGTATTATCATTCATACGGATATAAATTTATAATATGGTACTGAAATCTCCAGTCACAACCACCAAAGTGATTAGTAGTTCCTTTCTAAGTTACGCCATCGGATTTCGTACCGCATAAATCTGACTCGGAGCGTAATACGGCAATGCTTTACTAAGAGTATCTCTTCAACTAAATAACCCACAAGGAAACCGACGATTGGATCACAACATCTTCAACCGTCTATAATCCATAAAAACAATAAAAATGTACAATGAGTCAAATCTAAAGATGAGTTTCACAAAATACAACATAAAAATACTGTAATGTTATTCAGCGGGTGATAATAAACTGTTTGATTTTCATAACATATGGCGACAAACGTCAGTAGAAATGACTTACTAAAATCAAAAGAAATATACATGATTTGTCAAAATTTAATCGGTGAAGTCACATAGAAGTATTTAAATGCATAGAAAAAGAGGAATATCCAAAAGTCTCGTAGAAACTGAGGCACATACTAGCCACTTTTATCACTAGATTCACACTGAATAAACAAATTTTTCCGCAATGAACACAGCTCTTTGACCCACTTTTGACCCAAACTTGTGCTAAATGTTCCTTTAAAAATTAATCACATTTGAGGGAAAAAGAAAATCAGAATAGTGAAAATATTATTTACCTAGAGTACTTTCGAAAAATGATTCTAATTTTCCTGGTTCAAGAGTTTCATGTTCATATTCATAAGCCTGCAAGAGCATCTCAAATCTGTTAAAAAAGATCTTTTAAGGTAATAAAATAACGTACTTATCAAAATCTTTACAAATAACAGCCTCTGGTGTTTGCTGATCAACATATTCCTATAGATAGTATAAATTATCAAATATAATGATTATAATAAGTTACCTTCCATAAACTCATAATTTCTGCACTGTTCTCTTCTGAAATAAGTTCACATAATTGTTTCATAGCGTCCTGCAAAAAAATAACCAAGGGATGAGGGATACAACACTTACATACAAAGATGTAATTTTGACTGTTGTAAGGTAGTTGAGAGAGAACAATGTACCTAGGTTTAGTGTTAGTTGACATCCAACAGAGACCTCGAAGAAAATGATGCTCCTATAAAACTAGTATCTACGTCCTTTAGTTTCATAGTCTGAAATGTTATCGTTGAACTATTGAGGCCTCGACTAACATCCCGTAAGATTGAGATATTTATAACTGCCCAGTGACGAATGTTATATTTCTTTAGTTCTTTAGTGCTGGTCAAATTTTGTCGATTAATTTGTACTGTGAGCACTGGTCTAAGTGACTTGACATCTAGCACAGTATGTTGAGATGTTGGGTAATTAAAGGCGATGGGCAGGAAAACCTAGTTATTCTAAGAAGCTGTCGAGTTGTAAATAGTAGGAACTCTAGGTAAAAAAGCTCGTTGCTAAATGTGTTTGATCGCTTAACAAAACAAGACTTGATTAGTATGCATAACATAAATATAAAAGATGTCATCTAGTTAAGATTATTTGGATATTTATAATGGTCCAGATAACATCTTGGAAACAGGTTTCTAAATAGCTAGTAAACATTTTTAAAATTGTAAGCACAGGGTTGTAGGGACTATTGAATGTCAATGAAATAACGAACCGACAAATGTCAGAACACCATTGGATACCTGAAAGCAAAGGACGTACACTTCTTACTAGTATGGGACCGCTCAGTAGTGAGCATCTAAGAGTCCCCACAAGAGAAGCGAACTCACGCGCAACCGCGATTTAAAATTAACCATAATCGAGAATCTTTCCTAGTTATTAGGCTTATCCTGATTTCACGTTTGCGAAAAAACTTTTATAACGAGATATACAAAAAACTCTAATAATTGGAATATAAATATACAAAAAATTGGCAAATGAAATCCAATGAAGAAGTCAAAGCAATTCACTGAAGGATCAGTAATGGAAAAGAAGCAAAATATACTTATTAAATCAATTTTTTATCCCAATATAACTTATTAAATGTTTAATTTTTTTATTGATATAAACATACATCAGTAATTGCCTTTCGGCAAAAAAGTACTCATACATCAACACTACAAAATGAGATTTTTATAAGGAGTATTTAGGAAAGACTAAATTTTCAAAACTATTGTACGAAGGATTATTATTTATATTTTTCATTGTGTGATCCTTAAGTATTTGGTGTATATTACTGTGGATTTCGAATTATGAGTGAATAGAGTAAAACAGAGAACTAATATACTTCCAACTGGAAGTAGCTCGTGGATCAGTAAAGACCAAGATTCATCGGTCATTAATCACGGTTACTGAGTTATTGGTTATGAGGTCACTAGTCCTACAGGGAACACGGATGAATACGTTCATAAAACGGACTAGATAATATAACTCTTTCATAAACAATTGGCTCGATCACACAGGCCCCAACGCAGTTCATGGATTTTTCCTTTTTGAGATTAAGAAGAAAACAACTATCGTTTAATTACTCTATGAATAAAAACGGGGAACACATGAAATAAGCTCTCTCCATTTCACATGGAGCACATACCAGTATTCCATTAGTGAGCTAAACCATAAACAAATATTTTTGTTGAAATACACAATTATCTTTTAAAACACTAAAACAACGCTTGAAATGGAGTGAAGAGACTTCCCAGGTTAAATATAATATTTTCCTTTCGTTATAATGGAAACTGTTACTGAGACAAGAATGTGAAACATTTTATAGCGTCTGGTAAGGTAAATGAATTAATATCTTAAAAGCACAATATTTCCAATGTTTTTATCAAGACTAATTCATCTGCATCTAAATCCTGTTACTTCAATTATTGAAATAATAGGCTAGAAGTTCTTAGTTATTGGTCACTCTGATGGATCGATACTGATCTCTACATAAACACATACAACTGGTTGCTACAACATGATAAACTAGTTCAGTAATCAAACTTGTAAGAAATATTTACTAACTTTTTCTCTGGACAGTTTTTCTTCTTTCGATACTCCACAATGTGGTGTAATATCTCCCACGATACATTCAGCTAAATCATGTACAATTGCCATTTTTAATAATCTAAAAAAATGTAGACATGTTCAGATGTAACAAAGAAAAGCGAACATTTAAAACAATACTGTTTTGCTTATATTCGATAAGGGAAAAAAGCTATCAAAATATGGTAAATAGGAATAAATTAAATACAAATACATGGAATTAATGTGACAACTTAATGAACAACAAACAAGGATAGAACAAATATCCAAATGAACATTTAACAGACTTTGTACATTGAATGTGATTTTCATTATGCAAATGAGCTGATATGGGTTAATTAAAGCCATTAATCAACAAAATCAAACCCCGAAATTTTAAATAAATAGATCTAAAGAACATTTTGTATTGGAATTGAAGTACATAAAATTTCTTACTTTGAGAGAAATTCACACCAGTTTAAAACTGCTCACTAGTAACAACATCTGAAAAGATTTTGTGAGGTTCTAGTTTGAAGAAGTCATCAGTGAATTTCAGTTGTATTATAAGTGATACATATATGCTACAGATGATGTGATATGATGATCACACAATATCGAAACTTGGATAAAATCAGAAATGAAAAGTACTGATTTATGACTTAGTGCTTTAGAGGTACCATTATCACCGTAAGATTCCAAGGTTTTGAATTCGATCCTTCGTTGGAACGTGGATGCAGCACATTATTAATTAGTCCCAAAATAGACACACTTAGATGCTTAGTGTTTATTTTTATTTTCAATAGTTAAACAAATGAATTTGATAATGGAATGTAAGTTATCCTCTAATTCAACATTCTTCACGAAAATTCCCACCCTAATATAGTATTCTCTCTAGGGAAGATTGGATTGATAGTAAACAAACATACACCATATTCAGTACCTTAAATAATTTATACTTATTCAGTTTATAAAATAAACAGGGACTAATATTATATGACCTAAATTTAATTTGGTGATTTTAGTAATATTAATAACGCGTATTTTGTCCTGCTTGATACTTTACAACTAAACACAAATACATATTCAAAGATATTAGTCCCTTTCATAAGTTTTCGTATATTAATGAAAGGATGTAGTTGATAGGTAAACTCTTATGTATTTACAATATACATTTCAAACAGTTTGATTACACATAAACTTCTCAATACATTTTCTGCGAAAGTTAATAAAAGTCACTAAATGAAAGTTTAAATGAACTTAAAGCGATAATTATAAATAAAAGACAGGAAACAGATGAATATAATATGGTATTTTAATTCCTATGCTTATAGGAACATTTGACACCAACAGGTACTGAAGCTATTTAGGCGTATGTTTCATAACCCTTGATTGTACTGTTCGGTTACTCCTTTCTATGTATGTCAACGCAAACATATAAATTGGTAAATGCAATGAGTTGTGGCGTAATCATTTGTGCAAAGATTAGGCCTATGTGGAATCATGAGCTTAGTTTTTTCAATCACAATCAGTTTAGCAGTGTAGTATAGTAAGTTTGCATAGAAAAGTTTTATGATAAATTCCTAGATTTATACAAGCTATGGTCATTCACAAATTTAAAGAGTTTGCCGTAAACTTGAATTTGTCATAATAATCTTTAAGCCATTTTATGACTTAGGGTATTGACACAATTTCCTACGTTTCCCAAATTATATTAACCTGTTTTCTCTGCTTTATTTATAATTATCACTTTGTGTTCATTTGACCTTTATTAATGTTCATAGAAAATGTGTCAACAAGTTTAAGTTTAATTAGACAATTCGAAATGCACAGTGCATATACATTAGAGTTTTTAGATCAACCTCGTCTTCTCATTGTTCTATTGAAATATATATTCATTAAGTGAATCCATGATAGAACCATAATCCGACTGACTAAATGTATGAGAGTCATAATAATATTCAGAAATTAAAGTATTGATACACAAATATCCAATCGAAAAGCAATGTAAATAGGAGATAATTCCCGTCTGTGAAAAGTTGGACAGTTAATGAAGAGAGTAAAAGTTGCAAAATAACCAACGACTATTTAATCACGGATGTAACAAGCTAGTTATGATAATTTCATTACTCAACGACTACCGAATTAGATTAAAAACATTATTAAAAAGTACTGATAAATTTCAGTTTGTTAATCGTTATTCGGTCTGTTATAACTCTCTCTTTCTTACGGTTATGACCCAGCTATTCCTATTGCTTAGTATTCTCGGACACCGATTCACTCGACAAGTCCCCAAATCAAAACACGGTTGAACAGGAAGAGATTATATTCCAAATAACAAGGTTAGATGGAAGTAAGAAGCAAGTCAAAGCACAATAGGGAAAGACGTCAGTATATTTATAGTTTTTACATAAGAAGATTCCAGAGTATTCTCCAACTATCGACTAGTGCTGATTGGATAAGAATTAGCCAATCAGCGTGCACCAAAGCAATCATGCATTGAGCATGCTTTAATCTAGTCTATGTCCCGCTAACACGGTCTTTTAAAGGTGCAGCCGTTACATCGATATTGATAACTGACACCACAAAATCCAACGAATCAAGCACGGACTCAGTGATAATACCCGTAGCCGAAATGTGGATCATAATATATAAGAATAGTTGAACACGTATTTGTCAGGTATTTCGGCATAGGAAGTGTGAACACTCATAGGTTTTAAACCTCTAATCGAATTCACAAACACGTTTTAGAGTGCTTCTTTGCAACTTTATCTGTATATTATCCAAATTTTCCCCACTAACAGCTGTTGATTTGTCATACAGACAAGTGCAAAAAATTTGCGAAACAAGCTCCTAAACCAACAAAAAAGCTATGCTTACCGATCTGTGTTTAAATTTCCACGTTCATTTGTTGGGATTACGGTAGCCATCAATGCCATCCGGTACATATGATCAGAAACACTTTCAGGTGAGTTTATGTTGTAACGTGTCCAACCAGCTCGAACAGTTCGCTAAAAATATTTTCAAAAACGCGATGTATGTATATAAACTCAGAAGTTACATTAAAACATGTGGGTAAGTTTGTAGTTAAACATGAGAGATATTGCAACCAAACTTTACACAGTAGTCTGTTAAATGAATAAATACTATGATAAATCTGATAACCTTGAAAAACAGCTAGCGTATATCTTATAGAAATTTTGTCCATTAAATATACGAACTGGACTACTGACGTTTTTGGTGGAACGTCAGAAAAATACATGGTATGCTGAAGGCTTTTTAAGAAGATAACGAGTTGGTGGTTTATTTTTCAACTGAATTAAACCTTTCAATTAGATGTAAAAACTGTAAACATTGATACATCAGGATGACTATCAACTCGCTGGGCCGACGTTTCTGAGGTGTAAATTTCTCGTCAATGAGCTATTTACTACTGCTTTTCATAAAATACTAAGCATCATTTGATACAATATATCAGGCTTACTAAACCCTTTATAGAAACAGACCAAATTAGTTAACTTTTGAATGTAACTAAATTGGCCCGAACAATGGCAAATCACAGCAGTAATTTAATTAATACCTAAAAACATAAACAATCACACGAGTTTTAGGCATGATCCAAGTTATTACTACTTCTAATTTTGCAAATTATGTTCAAGTCTTTATAAAATAAAATCAGTTAAATTGAGATAAAGATATTAAAATAAGATCCCTACTATGTTTCATCATTTTCTCAGGGAACTATACTGAGTCCTTTAAACAAATACTTTACCTTCCTTCTAGATAATAAGCCTACGTGTGTCTGTTCTTTTGTATGCTGATATCAGTAGAAAATTGTGTGCTTTTTGGAAACAGGACATATTTACAGAATTAACGGCTCAAAACTCTTCAAGGTCAAACAAAATAGAAACATTGTCAATCAGAACAACTAACTGTGAGAAAATACTTACACAACAAATAATTTGATGGACCCTTATGTGGTTAGTATATGAAGTGATAAGATGGTGCGAGTGAAAGAGGGAGTCACGAAAAATCCTGACATTGAGTTGGAGAATACATTAGGAAACAGAATATTTGTATAATGTAAGTGACGTCAGTTATCTCACAGCACGATTCTTGATGAAGGCAAGAGACACATCCGAACAAAACACGCCAAATTATCGATTATTCGTGATCTTATCGACCTGGGAGAGTTATTAATAAATTTTTACTTGAATTATTCTCACGAATGTTTATTTTAAATATGCTATACGTGTACTTATAGATCTTAATTCACACAATCAACGAAGAATATGAAATATTAAGGCATTCGTAGAAGTAGACATGGAAAGGAGCTTTAATTCGCTACTTTAATACTTACGATATGGAATTCTCATATTAAGAAAATAAATATTCTCAAGATTGTCAACACTTTTAGCGTAACAGCACTCTTTAGGGACACGTGTCACATCAAACATATTTCTAGTAGGTCCGCACGATAAACCAATTTATAAAACGTACCAGGCTAACAACTGATCAAGCACTCTTAACTTTTCGGTTGATTGTTTCCCACTTTTCTTTAAGTCTAAGCAATAATCTTATTCTTCTGAAGTCTAGTTATGTTTGCATTTATCAGAATTTTGTAAAATCAAGCACGTAGTTGGGCAAGACTTTCGAAAATTAGACATACATATTACTTTTCAAATGGATGTATTAACAACCTAAAAAAATTAGCGGTTGGATGTAATAGACTTTCATATTTGTAAAAGTAGACATTACAATGCGGTTATTCTCCCAAACATTTAATTATCCAACATGTAACAGAAGATACATCGAGTAATAATATATGCGAAACCGTTAGAGTAAGGTCGACAATCCATAACTGATCCACATTCAACAGCCGAGTATGTGATGTTTAAGTGGGTCAGTAGAAGTAAAAATGGTCTCTTCCACAACCTCCTGTGATGGTAGTTAGAAAAATGACTTTCATAGAAATTAACAAAACGCTTTAGAAACTATACGATGCAGTGATGATATTGCAGTGTGTGTCGAACTTCAAATAAGAAGTAAACTAAGTAAACTCTCTCCAAATGATACGAACCGCGACCATGAATCAAAACAGTGCCAAACATGAAATCTAACTTCCGTATTGGTACACTGTAATTAAAAGACACTTAAGCTTGTTACGGAATGTGATCAGTTCCGTGATATCATAACCAACTTCCATTCTACATTAATCAAGCTATAATTGTGAGAAACAGGAGTTTAGGGGAGTGATCACTTACAAAACCATTGGAGTTAGTAACGTAGAAATATTAGCCAAACATCTGGACCCGAACTTTCATTCTCAGAAGGCCTAAAAACAATAACAATGAGCGATCTGTTGTCAGAATCTCAACTAACTATCATTTGCATTTGAGCTGAAAGTGGAAGTGACAGTTAACAATCTAGTTGTTTGCATTGAAAAAATCAATATAATTTGAATATAATTACCGAATTTTTATGCAGACCCCTCTCCCATTGTCCGTTTACATTTGTTAAAAATCTCTAAAGTTATGGTAATGTACATTCCATTAGAATGAGACTAAGCTTTTTATAAAGAAAATCCACAGATAAGTCCACTGATTAATTTACATTTATTACTTTCATTTTCCAAATAAAACCTCTAACAATAAAGATATGATTAAGACCCCTCGATTAGTTTGCACAAGAATCCGTTTGATACATTTCCACTTTACAGGGACAAGTTTCTGAAGAGGTGATTGAAATCGAGAGTGAAAAATTCATAGTGTATATACTATGAAACGACTTTTGAGAACCATTCATCGAGAAAAATGATAGATACCTGTGGATCTTTGCACACCCATGGTTATTTTCCGACAGATATTTACTACAAAACCAGTGCCTTTCTACACGTTTTAGACCACTAGTTGGTGGTATTAAAGAATAAGATCAAGTCTCAGCACCCATCCTTTTTCTAATATACTACTGGGTTATCTAGTATAGCACCCCAGAGAAGGTTAACAGAACGGACCAGTGTTATTAACATATAAGCGTTTAACACTTTTAGCTGTGCTCTAGAAAAAATTTTTCCGAGGAACCAGTTTGGTAGTGATGGTGAAGTAGAAACAACTACTCAAAGTTCTAAAGCGCTTTTAAGGGAAATGTATTACTAGTCCTTTGAAGTTGGATATATGTTTTTATATATTGGAGTTGTGAGTGATATGGTCTTAGAGATGACAATATGCACAAGAATGCAACATAAAAACATCAATTTTGTATATACATGGTACATGTATGAAATTCAGAAATTTCCGATCGCGAATTTCCTGAAGCTCATGGATGTAAAATGTTAACATGATAGGTCTATAGTCAGTTTCATTTACAGTCATTCAGAAAATCTAGTAATACATACAGTAAACTGTGATGTTAGTACATACAAATCTACGAGCAGCATGAAGAACCAGATCATTGTCATAACTGCCATCCTCAAAATAAAGTAGGATGTTGTCTACATGATCTCTAAAACTTTTCTTTTAAAAATTAATTACAAAATTACTTGACTATCGCAATGATTTTATAGCTTACTGCTAAGAATTCTATTATACATGACGTTATGATACTTATTTGCAAAAATATTAGTAGTTGCATACGAATAGCAAGCAGTAACCGATGAGAAAAAGAAGGGAAACGTCAAGAATTAAATCCAAAGAGAAAACAATTCTTTTTGCACAACTCACGGAGAGCAAATAAACACAAAACTCTGGTTTTTTATAAGTAACATTAAGTTATAACTAGAAAAAGTAGTCAGCTTCTTACTTTAAGTTTTCCACAGAGAAGGAGAAATCGTAGAACATTTGAATCAGACATCCTAGGAAAAAGTATTTCTGATTATACGAATAACAGAAGACAAAACAGAAAATTGAAAACTAATTAAAATATATATTTGATAGAGGTGTACTACAAAATAAACTAAGATTTCTTTTCAAATAATCCAAACGAATTAAAACATCGTTTCAATTTGCAATTACTGCACTGGTTACTCCTCGTCCAAGTGAAAAAATTTTTTACATCTAAAAATAATGGTCATTTACAAGCCTTACTTTCATTCCATGTTCCTCGCATTTCATCTGGAAACTGGGGAAAATTACTGAAAGATATGTCATAGTACCTTTTGGAGAAATGAAAATAGGTGCGGCACGACTTCCTTAACTTTAGTAGCGTTATTAGAGCACTTATCCGCTGTGCTCCAAACACCCTCAGCAACTGAAAAATATCCAAAAGCTGCAACCAAACCAAATTTCGAAATCCCACTACAGATATACAATATATAACATAACTAACCGGACAAAAACAACAGCCATATTATGAGCGTGTATTTGGAGTGGGTTAATGTCAGATAAGCTTAGTTACGTACTCGAGATGAACACGGTCGTTTAAACATAGAATACAGTACAAAACGAAGTCTTCTAGAAAAATTGCAATGAACACGCGTTATTTGGGTTTAGTTAAATTTATGACGAACTAGGTGTAAAATAATAAACAAATGTTCATAAACTAAGAGAATAACTAATGATAGCAGAGACAGCTTAGTGATATAAAATGATTTGGAACAACCTTCGAATATTATTATATGAAGAGGGAATGTTGGTGTGAATTCCAATCACTACTATTTATCCTTGCACTTGTATACCAGGAAATCTCTCATTTAATAAAAGTTATATGATTAAATGGTTATTTGGTTTTCAGTCGCAGAAAAATCCCCATCATATTAAAACAGGTATATGAACGAAGAATATGCTTTCCAATAAATTCTTTTCAGGTTATACAATTATATATCCAAATCAACAATCCGATATATGTCCAGGTTCAAGGGAAAATATTTTGCTTAAGCATTATAGAATGTGGATTTAAAATTGTAAAATAAAACAGTTAGTATTGAGATGGTTAACATGAAGTGTTAACTTGAATAAGTTTGTACATTAAATGAAATTGTGAGACTATTGACCAGAAGAAATATGGTTAACATGAGGTGAGAGAGATAATGCAATCATAAATCACGTAATATGTAGAATAATATGAATTAAGTGCGGATTAGCAAGTAGAGGATGCTAAATAAATTTATCAAAGCGTCTGCAAGTGTTATGAGAATAATAATGACAGGATGTGTGATTAAGATAAATTTAAGCTATGAAAATGCAAAGAGTATGGTTGCATGAACATTAATCAAAATACGTCACCATATCAAAATGATGATTAACTAATCAGTCCAGAAGTTGGCTGAGGTGAAAGTAGCTGTTGAACATATCTTTTATGGATGCAAAGCTCTGGCTTTTTGATCCAAATAGCTACTGCTTTAGCTGTCTGAAGGATTCTTAGTCTGACAGACTGCTGTTCACATGATATATTACTGTAAATGATTGGTCCATGTTGGCTGAATGTATGGCCTAGTTGTACTAAACTTAATGAGCTAAAATCAAGAGCTAAGTTTCAACCGTACCTTTGCTTAACCACACTTGGATTTTCTCGCAAGCATGAAAATTGAAGTTCCTAAAACACCTGCAAATATAACTTACTACACAAGAGCAGTTGGATTGATGGACGCAGAAAGTAGCTAGTCTAGGTAATTTATCTTTCAATTTCGGAGTGCCAACGGATGTGTGAAAAACATTAATTGTATTTTACATGCATTGAACGTTCTTTGGATTACTATTTGCAACTTTAATATAAGCAGTTCATTGTTTTTCATCACATTATTAGACACACTAACAGTTGCGTACTTTTTTTCTTTTAAACCTGAGGTAACATGAAACAGCTGGCTTTCAAAATATACTGAGTCACGTGAATGTCGATATACATGAACTTGGACACGACCATATTTATATCGAAAATGGCTTATCTTACTGTCATTACGAAATGCACAAGAAACATCGGTAATAAGCCATAGGTATTTTCGAAATATACGGCTAAGTCGTTAAGAAATATTTCAGGGATATATATATGGAAGATGCACAACCCAAGCAACCAATAAAAAGGAAATAAAGCATACGACAGCGTAACTAAAGAATAAATGTCGATTTTTCACCCTTGAGTCGGTTATTTAGGGGAAATGTCGATTTTCCGCCTTACGTCGTATATTTGGAGGCAATTTGTAGACAAATACACGTAACGCGATGCGTTCGAATATGTCGCCTTCCGTACTTGTGTTTCAAATACGTATATAAATAACATATTTGAAGGCTATTATCATTACCACAAGTGAGAAAATGCAAACGCATCGATTTTTATCGGATGCTAAAATCCCTACTTTGTTGTTTATTTATCTAAAGTGTTCTGAAGTGCTGGATGACCATCACAAATAGCTTACGAGGTGCATATGAGTTGTGTGCTCTCCATTTTTTATGCTCACTATCACCAATTAATTTGTCTGTGTTGTGAGATGAATTCATTTAAAGCTCGTAGGGCAACAGTGAACTTGTCGTGCGTCGTTGGCTGTCATAGATCCACTTATGACGGACGGTGGAATAAAATACGAACAGCTTTCAAGATAAAACATAATTTGCCTTCGTTTAGCAAGTTTGCTTATGAAAGCACGATTAAAGGTAACTGAATTTAACAGTTATTTATGTTGAATTGATAGCAGTCAGTGCAGAAAATGATTGTAATAAGATTCCATTATCTGTAACATCATCCAGTAGCTACAGCAATGAAAGGCTTCTGGATGACAGTGGCACGTATAAAAAGTGAATTCGTTAATATATTTCTTTTAGGGTATCATGACGTTAATTGTTGCACTCAGAAGTCCGTTAATCGTGAAGAAAAGATCAACGATATATTGATGACTTGAATGACAAAAACCTGTCTGAGCATATGATATGCTGATCGGCTTCTGACAGACCTCAGAGATCGTGTTCTGGGCTTACCGAGCAGCATCAGAAGTGACCTGAGGACGTGCAGAATTGTCCAACCGAAATTCATCTATTGTGGGCTTTTCTGGCATCTCAGATTGAAAACTTTGGTTGTGATTTTGATATTTAAGATCTGTATGGGCTTTCGATTTCAAGGAACTCTAGTTAAGATTTATGGCCTGTATTAGGACGGATTGTTACCCCAAGGTTTAAGAACTTGTTCTTTAACGAATCTGTAGCATAATATCAGAACCACCGAAAGTTGTAGTATGCAACCCGACCAGATAGTTGTATATATCCTGGGAACATCCCTATTTGAAATGGAAACAATTAATAGCTAGAGTTCAGATTGAGGTTACATTTTGGGCTGCGGGGTGGATTAAGAAATTCAAAAACTAAAAAACATCAATAGAATATGCGATTTCTCAACTTAACAAGCACAAAGAATCCACTTACAGTTAATAATAAAAGAGATGGAAATCAGCAACAACGTAGACAACTGAAAATACATGTCGTTCGATATCCAATATCTTTATGACTAACTTGTAGAATCCAATTTAATTTTTGCGTTCGCTACTTGTTGTTTCAGTACGATTCCGAGTCTCTGGCGATATTTAATAGATATTAGTCTAGCTACTTGACTTCAATAGTCCTAGTTACTTTGATAGTTATTCGTGCGTTAGTATATTTTGTAATCTGAGTGAGTGGGTTTGTTTGAGGGCAGTAGGATTTCTGTGAACAGAAACCATACGATGGTTCAAATGGTTCCGACGGTTCTGGATGTAAAAGAAGAAACTTTCGCTTAACGAGATTCCGTGTCTAGTAGCAGTGGATCACCAACACCTCAAGGCAAGAACCTAGGTATAGTAACGATAATAGAGTAAAAAGAAATTGGTAGATCATAGTAAGATACTATTCTTAGTCCTTAAGAATATGTCAAGTTCACTCTCGAAGGACTCCTGGGAAGTCATTTGAACTAGCTAAGCTGGAAACGAATTCCAGCATTTGACTACCCAAAAGGAGTATAAAATGTGCATACTGCTCGTTCTGCTGTGTTGTGTTTCTAGATTCTGGGTGTAACCCCTTGGGCTTGTGTCGGGGATAAACCAAATTAGATGTTCAAGGGGATGTTCAGAAGTGTTAAGGATGCTGTAAGTCATTAGAAGGTCACCTCTAAGACTACCGTACTCTAATGGGTAAAGGTTTGGTGATTGTAGACGCTCTTCATAAGGCTTGAATTTGAGCCCCTGAACTGAATTTGTGGTTCGCCAGTGGATAAGTTCTATAGTGTCTTTATCCTTTTGGAGTGATGGAGAAAATACTGTGTCCCCGTAATCCAAATGAGGACGAATGAAATTGTTGAAAATCATGTGGAAGGTTCATCCGTCACGCTGGCCGGAAATGCGCCTCAATGTTGACAGGGCAAGGTTTGCTCGAAAGGCATTTTTGTCACAGTTAGCGTAAGACTTCAAATGGTAGATTCCTAGCACTCCTAAATACTTTTCAACTTGGGACACTGTGGTGTTTGAATGAACTAATAATACCTTTGTACTTGTTGAATGCTCGATTTCGAATTCCAAATACAATACATTCGCTTGTGCTTGTGTCTTACTTCTTAATTCAATTGCGTTAATTCTGGGACTCTTAGTTCGTGCTACAATTCAAATAATTCAAAACATTATATTGCGTCGCGATGGAGCCTGTAATGGAAAAGTTAGATATTCATTCAACTTCGGAAGCTTTTGAAGATTACTTTGTGTTACGGGAGAACTGAAGACTTTTGACGGATTAAAACCTTTTATTGTACATTAATAATTTACTGTGCTTTTGGATGTAATTGTTTTACTTAACTTTTGAACTTGTTTGTTTATATCATTATTTCGGACATTTTGGTTTGTCTTTGGTTTGGTATTTTGGTGCTCTCTTTGTCTTTGGTTTGGTATTCGGGAGTTTTGCTCCGGGAA